CACCTTTGAAACAAGACGGTGCGTGAATCTTCTCCCCTGCTGGATATTCAACAGTCAGCCGTGAGTGATATTATTAGAAAGTGGAAGCGTTTAGGAACAACAGCAGCTCAGCCACGTAAAATCACAGAGCGGGGTCAAGGACTGCTGAGGCGCACGGTGCGTAAAAGTCACCAACACTCTGCTGATCCCACAGCTGAAGAGTTCTGAGCTTCCACTGGCGTTAATGTCAGCACAAAAACTGTGCGGCGGGAGCTTCATGGAACGAGTCTCCATGGCCGAGCAGCCTCACATCACCAAGTCCAACGCCAAGCGTTGGGTGGAGTGGTGTAAAGCACACCGACACTGGACTGTGGAGTAGTGGACACGTGTTCTGTGGAGCGACGAATCACGCTTCACTGTTTGGCAGTCAGATGGACGAGTCTGCTGAGAGAACGTTACCCGCCTGGTGGAGGAGGGACGATGGGCTGTTGTTCAGGGTTTGGGCTCGACCCCTTGTCTCCAGTGACGGACGATCTTAATGCTTCAGCACACCAAGACATTTTGGACGATGCTATGCTTCCACCTTTGTGGCAACAGTTTGGTGACGGCCCTTTTCTGCTCCAACATGACGGTGCCCCAGTGCACAAAGCAACAACTATACAGACATGGTTTGATGAGTTCGGTGAGGAAGAACAGAGCCCTGACCTCAGCCCCATCGAGCACCTTTGGGATGAACTGGAACGGAGATCGCGAGCCGGGCCTTCTCGTCCAACATCAGTGCCTGACCTCATCAGTGCTCTACAGAATGACTCGGCACAAATTCCACAGGAACACTCAGAAATCTGGCGGAAATCTTTCCAAGAAGAGTGGAAGCTGTTGGAGCTGCAGAAGGGACCGACTCCATGTTAAAGTTGATGTATTTGACTACAGTGTCATCACAGTCCCTGTTGGTGTGATGGTCAGGTGTCCGAATACTTGTGTCCATATAGTGTACGCAGAGGTCCGGACGCAGCCGTTAAACTGAGGCAACATGACGCTCAGACTTCCTGACACTACTAAGCTCAACCTTTCAGAATAAAATCCCTCCACATGTAACAGCAGAAACAAAACTGTGCTGATGAAGAATCCTGAACATCAGCTTCATCATCTCTGTTAGTGTAACGATATGAAACTGAACAGACTCCTTTGTTTTCTGTACTTTTATATAAAAAACCTGACCCTCTCCGTCTCTGCCACGTTGTCTGTGGTTTCCTGCCGCGCTCACTGACTTGACCCAATATTCAAACACTGAGCTGTGAGCACGCTCCATATTTAACCAAACTGTCAGTTCAACTAAAGTCCGTCTCTTTTTTATTCCTCTGTCTGTGGAAATCTCACATTAAATATAAAACTGAGTATTTATCAGCTCATGTCCTTCAAAATAAAGGCAGATGTCTCTGTCCTGCAGACGGACTCTTCCTCCTGATGAAGAGCTGATTGAACATGCAGAATATTTTCTGTAATAACAATAAAAACAGGAGGCAGAAGTCATCAATGATTGATCTGACTCATGTGCAGACTGTGCACGCAGCCTGCTGCAGCTGCTCCTGATAGTTGCTCCTTCTTTAAACATGCGACTACAGAGAGTTCTGTTCAGTTTCCTCCAGGATCAATAACATATTTCTGATTCTGATTGTGCAGTCGCAGTGTCTCTCTGTCAGACTGTGACCTGCCTGTTCACACCATGAGGACTAAGATCTAAAACATATTCTGGTTTTCCACAAAAGATCAAAAACATTAAGAAATTTCAGAAAAATCTGAACATTGTTTTCGACCTGGTCACAGTAAAATATCAAATTAGTCACATTAAATCAAATCACAGACAAACAGCTGATGATATAAAACCACATCTCATATTTCTGGCTGTGGATGTTTCTGTCTGCAGGAAGCTCAGCGACAAACAACACATTTATTTACAGAAACAACACACACACACACACACACACACATGCACTCTGACTCAGACTGGCGGTGGCTGTCTGTATCAGACACACTGACACACAGACCTGAGATCTGCAGTGATACAACAGGATCTGGATCAGACTGGATCTGGATCTGAGGCCTGTACTGAAGCCACTTCAACTTCCCCAGGATATCTTTTCATTATCGCTTCACTAACCCGTCACATCAGCCACCTGATGACCGTTACTACAAGGCTGGTTATCAACTAGTTCAGTCAACTCTGGGTTTTCCTCTCAGCCACGAGCACGTTACTGATGAGTGACATCATCAGAACCATGAACAAAGCAGAAGAATCATATCGTATGAGCTGAAACGTTACCGAGAGTGTGTGCGACTGCAACAGTAAAATCTCAGTGGCGTTGGACGTAAACAATACTCTGAAATCTTATAACGGAAAATGTAGAAACATTGAAAATATTACCAAAAAATATCACCCTCAACTGAGACTTAGTTTACCTGCAGGTATCACTGAGTTGTATGTGACATCAGCACAGAGTATTTTTTGCTGTTTAGTGTGATGATGATGATGATGATGATGATGATGATGATACTCGTCTGAATATGTCACATAAACACTTTAAAGTAACACCAGACTGTTTCTGCAGTAAAGAGGAGTTCATGACTGACGACGTGTGTCTGACTGAAATGTGTCATTTATAATAACAGGAGCTGATTAACAGTGTGTGGATTATTTTACCAATAAAATATGATGTGTTTTATCCTCGTTCTCATCACACAGGTGTCTCGTGTTGTTCTGAGCTGCAGTGATGAGTCAGTGTCAAATATCAACACTGTCACTGCGACTAAAATTAACTTCACAGAAGTTAAAATCGTGTGTTCAGTGTGTGAACGACCTGTTTGTCAGACGCTCTGATTTAAAACCAGTGGAAACAATGAAATGACTTTACTGACCTGTAACATACAGCCTCCCCTTCTTTACCTGAGACTTTTTTCGTCAGTGATCTGATTGGTCAGAGGTCGGGTGATGACAGGCTGTGATCAGCTCATCTGTTCAGCATCAGTTACCATGGTGATTGATCCGGGTAAAAAGAGAACCGGCTTTGTAGTGGGGGAGACCGGGGTTGGTTGTCACAGTGTTTATTCCAGCCACACTAGAGGGCGCTGTGACATCATGTTGATATCAAACATTTGGCCTGACATCCTGCTCATTTTGTGCAACGTACACAAAACACTGAGGTGAGGAGATATTCAGAGTCATTTTTCATGTTAATGTTTTTGTATTAAAAGCTTGTAGATGATCAGTCACTTCAAAATCAAACACTTTTTAAAAAGTCGAACGTAACGGCTTTGATTTGAGTCAACTTTTAGCGAGCAGGCTAAAGCCATGTGGTAGCTAGCTTAAAATGGTTGTCATGAGGTCAGCAGGGGATGGTTGTCACATGTGTGACCATCGCCTGCAGTGACTCAGTCACGGTTGCTCAGGTTACATGTTAGAAACATGTTGGACACTGTTAAGGCTGTTTGCCTGTTTAAGTCTGTCAACTACTGGTCCTGTTTGGTGACGAGGATAAATCAGTATAGAAAGACAGTCAGCATGGCAAACATGTTAAAGTGATCACACACACACACACACACACACACACACTCTTACTTTGGTTCCTCATCAGAAAGCAATGATGCATCTAAACAGTTTCATCCTTCACCCTCGGCTCTTTGACATTTTGTGACGGAGTTTAATCTGTTCCAATCTCATGTTTCGTTTATGTTCATAATGAATTGTTATAAAACAATGTCTTTAATAACTGCTTGATTTTTTCAGCACTGTAAATTCATTCATTTTACTTCTTATTACAGAGAACAATTCAAACAAACAATCACCTGGTTCAGATTCATGATTTAAACACTAATTATGACAGAGGTGGCGTTCATCTCAAACCTTATTGGATGTTTCTATCTTAAAAACTAAAAAGTTACACATTTTTTAAATATATTTTTCTTGGTTGGTTATCACAGTGTGTCAGAGTATCTGATGCTTAATCACTTCTTGTTACTAAGTTAATATGTTCCTGTAAATAAGTGGTAAAAATGAAAGTGATACCCATTTCAAGCTGAGACCTAAAACTTCCATTTAATGTGGGAACGATTATTGACAGATGTTTTGATGATGAGCGAGTCACACACGAGTAAAAAGTGTCACAACCAACCCCGGTCGAGTTAACCCTGAAGTTACCTCGCTAACCCCAAATCCTGCTTCATGGTCCAGGCCTCTGGTCTGGGTTTGGTCTGGATCCGTTTTCAAACATTCAGCCATTTGATATTCGGCTTCATTCTGACCTCTGAGTGACCTCTGCTGTCTGATCCTGAGTCATCACATTTCATCCCCACTGGATCCCTGGAACTGTCTGTGTTCATGTTTTCTCTGTACTGATCAGAGGATCTGAATGATCACCTGTCAGACAGGTGTGATGTCAGTCGACTGTCTCTCTTTGGTCTTTTTCAGTGATTCACAAGTCAAAGCTAAAAACCAGGAGAACAACCAGAGGGCTGAACCACCAAGTCAGTTCATCAGAGTCAGGCTCTCTGCATCTGAGGGTTTCGGCTTCAGGCTCTGTACACGATCATATAAAACGTGTTTAATGATGCGTTCAGCGCCTCATTTGACACTTGATCCATAAAATAATACATCACATGCCGCCTTTGGAGGAATATTTTAAAAGTATCACAGTAAAAAGCGACACTGTTGCTTCATTAAAGCAATTTCATCTTATCACTGTTTATTTCTGAGGCATTTCAACAGCTGTTCATTCTGCAGCTCCTCCTCTTTAAACTTGTCACAGAAGATTCAAACGTTACACTCAAAAACTGACGCTGTCCTAAGATGAAGGTTAGGTGTAAATCACTTTAATTTTCGGACAACTCAAAGTGAAATGAATTTCATTTAAATGCTCAGGTACACTGTAGGAATGATGAGGAAATAAAGTTCAACAAATCACCTTGAAGGTGACGATGTGTTGATGTTGAGTTGATTAACCGACACACAGAAGCTGCAGTGGACTCACCTGTCCTGCGGGTGGCGCTGTTGTGGGGAGGTGCTGTTGAGGTGTTCAGGTGGTAGGAGAACCTCATGGTGCTGAACTGACTGGAGAAGGAGGGAGGAGGAGGCGGAGGAGGAGGAGGGGGAGGAGGAGGGAGGCTGAACCCGAGCAGGGCGCTGCGAGGCCGGTTCAGCTGCATGCCGACTCCCGCACAGGTACGAGGGTCCTGTCCGCAGGTCAGAGGTCAGTCTGTGTGTTTAGTTCATGTTTCACTGACACTTTGTGAAATGAGACATTTAATCTGAAGGTCTCTGTCTGAATCAGTCACTTCCTGTTTGTACAGTCGAGTCCTCAGAGAGTTCATCACATCAAATAAAGTCTGTTTCAGCAGAACTCCATCTGTTTGCTCTCCAATGGAGGTCATGTGGAGGTCAGCGTCTCCCCTCCTTCATCCTCCCCCTCTTTCTCCCATCCTCCTCTCTTCTCCTCTTCCTCTCACTCTTTCAGAAAACTTAGAAATCCTCTCGTCTCCATCTCCTCGTCCTCTCAGAGGATCCCTCACTCCATCAGATCAGTCAGAAGAATCCAACTGAAGAGATTTAACAATAAACTCTTTGCTCAGATCAGCTGCAGCTTCCTGTCGATCAAACTGCTCTGAGATCAGATCAGACACAAGCAAACTGTGAAGAATAACTTGATGTGTTTTCTGATTAAATCAAACGTTTCTTCCTCCTGAAGAATCCAGAATGTGCCGACTCAGCTCCCACACAGACGCTGCTTCACTCTTCCTTCAACTTTCCCCTCATTCCTCCTCCGGCTGCTGCTTCACGTTTCCTCCCTCAGAGGAGTTTTATTCTTTCACTCCAGCATCAGTTTGTCCAAACACACTCTCACAGACGGACGGACGGACAGTCGGTCAGTCGTCTCTCTCGGCAGCTTCAGGCTTTTGTGTGAAAATCTGATCTGAGTTGCAGACCGACACCACAACTCCTCCTCCTCCTCCTTCACCCAGACATCTGATCCCAGACCAGCCCCCCCCCCCCCCCCCCCCCCCCTCCCCCCCCCCCCCCCCCCCCCCCCCCCCCCCCCCCCCCCCCCCCCCCCCCCCCCTCCCCCCCCCCCCCCCCCCCCCCCCCCTCCTCCTCCTCCTCCTCCTCCTCCTCTCTGTGGTCTGTTTCTCATTTTCTCTCCGTCTTTTTTTTTCTTTTTGAGGCTGAAATTTGAAGCAAAAGGAAAACTGTGGAGAAAAATTCCGGCAGCACTTTTTGTTTTTGCTCTTTTCTTTCCATCAGCTGATCCTCCTCCTCCTCTTCATTACACATTTTACTTTCTGACACTTGGGACAGTTTAAAGCAGCAGAGATGAAACTGAAGGATCATGGGAGTCTGTCTCAGCCAGCAGAGGGCTCCAAACCTCGTCTGTCCTCAGATATCACAGCTGCTTCAGTAAGACGTTTCAGATCTGGAGGAATCCACAACAGCAACAGTTTGAACACTTGTTTATAACATGTCTGAGTTAATGTGACTCCACACCTTCTGCTTCACCTCAGAGACGCTCCGACAGGTGAACACAGTAAGGGAGAGCTGATTGATATCATGTCAATGCTCTCAATACTACGCTTTCATTTTGAAGATTGATCCCAGCGTCAACGGGATCGACACCTAAACAGGGATTGTTTTTCTCTCTCAAAGGTAGAACTCTCTGTACAAGCAAAAATCTGTTGTCGTGAACACATCCAGTGCATTTATTCTTTATTTCTCCACTGCCTTGTGTTGCCTGGACTCAAACAACTCGCTCCAGACACAGCAGCGTCTTCACTTTCACCTGCTGTCAGCAGCAGGAGGACAGTAAGCTCAGTCTGACCCCAACTGTACTATGAATGAAACTGCGTGTGCATCCGTGTGACTGTAGCTGTCTGCAGACGTTCAATGCACAAAGTACGTTAGAGCCTGACTTCTTTAATACGACACAGTAGTGATGTCTCATTGAAAGAGCAAATGAACATGAGAAAGAAAAGAAGGGAGGAGGAGACAACACCTCAGCATCCAGACCTCTGACACAGAGACAGAGTTCACAGGGGATCAGGTTAATATTTTAGTCAAATCAGCATTGGTTAATGTTACATTTTCAGACTGTAATTGGTCCTCATCAGCTGTTCCCTAATCAGATTGATTATTCACCTCATTAATCATGACACACTGCTTTCCCTTACTTAAAAACATGCCACTTTTAATAACCCTGTATCGCCTAATATCACCCACCACCAGAACATTTACAAGATCACAACCTGTTTGTCGGTCAGCTTGCTTGTATTAATAAAATATCATTTTCATATTGTAGATTAGATGAACCACCTGTGGAAACACCAACAGCTGCTGTATTGTTTTTTATGTTTGTCAAGAATCTGAGTCATAAATTTACTGTGACGTCATCTTATTGATCACAGCGTTAGTTCAGGCAGGACATGACGTCAAACTCAGCTCACATCCCAGCTACATCAGCTGATCTCAAGCAGCACAATCAACTGATGGATCAGCTGATTGATGGAGGGAGTCAGCTGATCGATCACATGATTCCTTTCTATGAAACCAATTGACCTATGGCTAAGCCACGCCCCCTCCACTCTCTCTGACAAACTATCAACATTCAGTGTTCGGCGCTATGGCAGGTGTCACAGTACACGGCATTTCACAGGAGGCAACTGATGATTTTTGGAGACATAACGATCAGATGTCATTGAGAAGTAACCAAAAGGGCCTAAACTACGCATTGGAGGGATATATTCATCATTTTATTGTTGAGAAGGTCGATGAAAAGCTTAAATTACAAGCCAAAATTTACAGGTCACAGTGTACGCTTGTGAACCGCATCTGGTTGCCGTCACCATCAAAGACAACAAGTTAAAGTGCCACTGAAGTTAAGGTTTTTGGCTCAGAATATGAGAAAAGGATAACGGCCTTTTTACCATCTTTACCAAGAGTGTCTCTCCGTTAGTTTGGTGCTACAGTATTTACACTGAATCATTCAGCATAACGTTTGCCAACCTTTGTTATCTCTGCCATTACAGATAAGTTAATGAAGCTAAGCTCCAGAAGTTAACGTTAGCTTAACTAGAGCCCTTTGGACAACAGCTAACAATGATGTACTATCACCAAAGTACAAAACTAGAACAAAATAGGCTAATGAACTCCCAGCAAACAAGGTGACATGATGAACAACGCAGCTAGGAGCTAACGTTAGGCTAACTTTAGCTAACGTTAGCTAGAGATGTTAAAGATAACTTTATATTTCTTTCCAGCAAAGTGACAATATGTTGCCTCAAACACAATGTTGACTTACCTTAGAACAGATGTAGACATCATTGTTAATCTTATTCACGTTGAGTTGATGTTGTGGTCTAACGTTACCACACAACTTTATCCAAAGGAGACACTTTTCTCGCTTGAGATGTGGTTTAAAGTGTAAAAAATACACGTGGTCGCCCAGCCTCTCAGGATACCTTGTGTCAGAGTTGCATGTACCCCATGCACACCGTTTGACCATTTTTAGACTTCAAATCTCAGAAAAAGCTGTGATTGGCTCATCGCGTTTGAGGGCGGGACTTAGCCATAGGTCAACTGGCAAATCTCATTCAGGGCGCCCTATTTAAACTGCTCTGGCCTGCCTACTGTTGCTGCTTCGCACCCTGTCTCCACCCCAGCTCCTCCTTTTCATGCTGTGTCTGACTTATCAATGTCATTTCTGTTTGTCATTGCTGCTGTTCTGTTCTGTTCTGTTCTGTTCTGTTCTGTTCTCGTGTGGTCTTTGCTGCTGCTCTCTCTGCCTTAGGCTTTCCATGTAGGCTCATGGAAGGGCAGAGAGGCCCCAGAACAGAGCCACGCCGCCAAATAAAATACTGCAAATGGTAATAAAGTTTCTTGGACTTAACTCTTCTTCTTCAGTTCTCTTCTGTTCAGGTTCATTTTGACTCATTGAAGAAAAAGGTTTGTACTAAACACCTGCAGTGATTATTATTGTTATAATATCAGACTCAGTGTGTAACTGTCCTCTCTCCCAGACACAATAAAGATGATGTAACTTTTACATCTCATCATTCCTTCAGTAACAAACAAAACTGAAGTGTTTCTATCAGTCACCTGCTGCAGGCGATCTTTAAGGGTTAAATATTTCTGTGCATTATCACTGAGATGAGATGATGTCATCTTCTCTAACTGAAGCTGCAGCTTCCACTCAATTAAATTTGTCTCGTGTCTGAACACCAGTTTCACACGTGTCTGTTCAAAATCTAAAATTCAGTTTTTATTTAAATTCAGAAAAAACATCTGTTTAAAATTTACAGCAGAGAAAGAACAAAGTGTGACGTTCCTTCAGTGTGTCTCTGAGCGTCGGCTCCTCAGGCTGTAACGAGGCTGACCAATCAGGAGGAAGATGAGGATAAACACAGGACAGAAGAGAAGAGCAGAGGTCAGAGGTCATGAAGACATTACATCTCTTTTTCTCCAGATTTAAGTCCTGATTGGTGACACCTGTGGTTACCACGGTGACGCTAAGAAGATCTGTATAATAAAAGGTCTGAATGTTTAAAATGACACACTGTGATGTGATACATGTCAGACATCTCTGAAGCCCCGCCCACCACTGTGATGTCAGAGCTGAACACATTAACAGTGAAGCGCAGTATCGCTGTTTGACATCATCAATAATCAATAATCAGATCAGAGGTACCTGTTTATCCTCCACCAGGATGCTGTAGACCAGAGGGGAGGAGGAGGAGGAGGTGGACGGGAGGCGGGAGGAAGAGGAGCGACGAGGACGCCTGCCTGGACTCACTGAGGCCTTCTGGGTCGTGGGACTGAGCACTGAGGCATTGTGGGTAACGTACGGCTTCTGGGTGACGTCAGCTGCGGAGCTGTTCACTGTGCTGCTGAGAAAACTGTCGGTGCTCCAACCTGCAGGACAAACACACTCACTATGTTCACGCCAACATGGCTGAAAGTATGTGGACACAGAGGTGAGACAGGTACCGACCGATGTGTGTGAGGTGAGACAGGTCTGAGTCGTCTGTGGGCGGAGACACCAGTGTGCTGCACTCCTCCTCCACTTCTTTTTCTCCTCTTTTGATCTCCTCTCTCCTCCTTAGCGCCTCCTCTCTTCTGCTGCCCTCTGACCTCCTCTGGAAGAGATGTGATTGGTCAGGCTGATGTTACAGGAAGTAACCTCTCTGCTCTGTGACATCACTTCTGTTCTCACCTTCAGTTGCGGCTGATTCTTCGGTTGATTCCTCAAACTCTCTGCGGACAGACAGACAGACAGACAGACAGACTCAATCAGAGCTGCAGTTCCTCTACTGTCCACCAGGTGCAGCTGCGCTCACACTGTGTTGAAGTGTCTGTGTTGATCTGGACTCACCTGCGTGCTGCAGCGCCTCCTGCAGGCTCCTCTGTGTCTCTCTGAGCTGCTGCAGCACCTGCAGACTCTGCTGCAGGGGGTCTCTGTACCTAACACACACACACAGCAGGACACACACTCCAACACACACCATGAAGCGCCGCAACACACTCACATACCCACTGACCAGCTCCTGCACACACACACCCACACACACACACACACACACACACACACACACACAAACAAACAGGTTATAACGACACACAGTGACTGCAGGACACTTCACAAGCTCACCTGACAGGTGTGAAGCTGTGATCACACTACAGGTGACACAGCAACAGGCTACAAGTCATTTTTAAATAAAGCTACAGACTGACTCGTCAGACATAATGCGCTACAAATTTGACTTTTTTAGGGCTCTAATAACACAGTGAAGCTCCAACCAATCATACATGTTGTTTTCTAGCTGTGGTATTGTGTTATGTAGCTAGTTAGCTGGTGCTATGCTAGCTTTTTGGCACTGCAGAGCACATGGGGATACAAAATGTGATGTTAAAATGGGGCTCGGACACTAATGAAAGGACAGATTTGTATTGACAAGCACTTGAGCAAAACTAGAGTGTAGAGTGTGTGTCAGGTGTAGAGTGTGTGTCAGGTGTAGAGTGTGTGTCAGGTGTAGAGTGTGTGTCAGGTGTAGAGTGTGTGTCAGGTGTAGAGTGTGTGTCAGGTGTAGAGTGTGTGTCAGGTGTAGAGTGTGTGTCAGGTGTAGAGTGTGTGTCAGGTGTAGAGTGTGTGTCAGGTGTAGAGTGTGTGTCAGGTGTAGAGTGTGTGTCAGGTGTAGAGTGTGTGTCAGGTGTAGAGTGTGTGTCAGGTGTAGAGTGTGTGTCAGGTGTAGAGTGTGTGTCAGGTGTAGAGTGTGTGTCAGGTGTAGAGTGTGTGTCAGGTGTAGAGTGTGTGTCAGGTGTAGAGTGTGTGTCAGGTGTAGAGTGTGTGTCAGGTGTAGAGTGTGTGTCAGGTGTAGAGTGTGTGTCAGGTGTAGAGTGTGTGTCAGGTGTAGAGTGTGTGTCAGGTGTAGAGTGTGTGTCAGGTGTAGAGTGTGTGTCAGGTGTAGAGTGTGTGTCAGGTGTAGAGTGTGTGTCAGGTGTAGAGTGTGTGTCAGGTGTAGAGTGTGTGTCAGGTGTAGAGTGTGTGTCAGGTGTAGAGTGTGTGTCAGGTGTAGAGTGTGTGTCAGGTGTAGAGTGTGTGTCAGGTGTAGAGTGTGTGTCAGGTGTAGAGTGTGTGTCAGGTGTAGAGTGTGTGTCAGGTGTAGAGTGTGTGTCAGGTGTAGAGTGTGTGTCAGGTGTAGAGTGTGTGTCAGGTGTAGAATGTGTGTCAGGTGTAGAGTGTGTGTCAGGTGTAGAGTGTGTGTCAGGTGTAGAATGTGTGTCAGGTGTAGAGTGTGTGTCAGGTGTAGAGTGTGTGTCAGGTGTAGAATGTGTGTCAGGTGTAGAGTGTGTGTCAGGTGTAGAATGTGTGTCAGGTGTAGAGTGTGTGTCAGGTGTAGAGTGTGTGTCAGGTGTAGAATGTGTGTCAGGTGTAGAGTGTGTGTCAGGTGTAGAATGTGTGTCAGGTGTAGAGTGTGTGTCAGGTGCAGAGTGTGTGTCAGGTGTAGAGTGTGTGTCAGGTGTAACATACTGACCATGTGTTTGTGTTCAGGATGATCAGAGTTTATCACAAAGTGGTAGATCTTCCTCTCCAGATAGAAGTTTAAACACACCAAACTCAACAACACCAGCCTAAACACACACACACACACACACACACACACAATTAAGCACAAAAGTGAATAATTAAGTGACTCAAAGACTGACAGCCCAGTTCCCTATGAGGAGGCTGAGGGAGGAGGTGAGGAGGAGGAGTTACCTGGCTCTGGAGGAGCGTTGGGTGGAGGTGATGAGGAAGGCGGTGCAGAGAGCAGCAGCGTTGTAGCAGCAGGAGCTCAGACTGTGAGCCTCCATCAGCAGGAAACTCTGCAGGAAGGAAACTCTGTTGAAGAGTTCGGACAGCGCCACCTGCTGCTCCCTGGAGACACTGCTGAGCTCCGAGAACACCGACCGCAGACCTGACAGACGGGTGGAGAGGGAGAGACAGACAGACAGACAGACAGACAGACAGACTCTAAGGTTATGTGTCTCTGTGTGTTTTATACCCAGAGTAATGTACCTCAGGCTGTCTGTCATCTTGTTGGTTTACCCTGGGTGGAGTCTCTCAGGGTGACTCTCAGCTCTTCTCCATTGTTCAGGATCTCCTGCTGTGCCTGTAAGGCAGCGGTCTGGGCATCAATCAGGTCCTCAGCCATCTGCCTGGTGGACTGAAGCTGCTCAGCTACACCTGCTGAACTCTCTGTTAACCTGACACACACACACACACACACACACACCTGTTACCTGTATATCCTGTGTGTGTTACCTGGCCAGGTGCTACCTGTGTGTGTCTCACCTGTGCATGGTGTCCTCAGCTCGGCCCTGCCAGGCGTCAGACTGCAGGAAGTGACAGATGGAGTGTGTGTGGGTGAAGAACTCTGTGTAGGTGTTAAAGGCCACAGCGTCCATCACACCTGTACACCTGTTGACCTCTGACCCCTCAGGGCATGATGGGAAATCTCTGCCTGAGCTGACAGACAGACAGACACATACACACAGACAGACAGACACACACAGACACAGACACAGACACACACACACACACATACAGGAGAGATTTTCTCGTTTTTCTTTGATTTTTTTATAGAAATAATCACAAATCATTAATTCATGATTAAAAACAAGATTCTGTTTTTAATTTAATAAAATTTTCATCTGAATTCAGATTTACTTCAAACTGTTTGTTTCCTTCTACCTGTCAAATTCATGACGTCATCAGTGCGGTAACCGTAACCAGGTCTTCAACACGTTTTTCTGACTGATCTTAATTTAACATTTATATTAAACATGATTCTGATGTTTAAAACTGGATTTGACCGTTTTCAGTGAAATAAAATTAAGTTGATGATAAACTTATTTAGTGTGTGTAATGAATCAATAATTGTTATGATGATTATTACTTTTATTAACCATTACAGAAATCAATAACCTGAAAGGTCACGTGGTGTTCGGTGAGGAGCTGATCATTAACTGCAGTAACACGTCACTGGAAACAAGCTCAAACACCAGCAGGATAAATGAATGTCTGCAAGAACTATTTATCCAAAGGAAACGCACTCAGAGGGCCACACACTGACACACAGAGAGAAATACTCGAGTACAATACTCCTCATGAGTACTCCCGTGTCCTCTGTGTACACATGAAGCAGCTCAGCAGCTCCTCGCTGTGACTGATTTACCTGCTCAGGTGACAGAAGGTGAAGCTCAGCGCGATCCGGCTCTGGCTCTCTGACGTCATGTCCCTGCAGCGCGTGTCCAGGTGCTCCAGAGCTCGCGCCCAACATCCTCCGTACCTGGGCTGAGCGGCGAGGCCCTGCACGCGCCGCAGCTGCATCCTGCCGCGTTCAGAGTCCGCACCGGGATCGGAGGAGGAGGAGGAGGAGGAGGAGGAGGAAGAGGAGGAGGAGGAGGAGGAGAGACCCGGACCCGCCGAGAGTCCGAGCAGCAGCAGCAGCAGCAGCAGCAGCACGGCGTACACCTGGGCCGCCATCTTCACCTGTCAGTCTGCTCAGCCAATCAGAGAGCCAGATTTTGAGCAGGTCAGAGGTCACCGAGAGGTCACGATTTGTTCGAACTGTATGCATGAAACGATTTAATATGAATGACGTCATTTAAATAATATTTACTAAAAACAAACCAGAGTTTAATGAGATAAAAACTGAAGCTCATTAAAGCTCTGATCATTAATATCATGACGTCACTCAGGCAGCAGGTGGCAGCAATGCATCATGGGAGGTGCGGTCCCAGTCTGATGTGACCTGATGGAGCGTCACACTGTGATCAGTGATCAATAATCAGTGATGTGACATCATGAGTACCTGTGTGCTGTAACACACGGTGAGTTACAGGAAGTTCAACATGTCTGTGAGCTGATTCTGTGTCTCGTTGGTTTCATGTTCAGACACCACGATAATAAACATGAGACGTCGTCTCCCAAAAGTTAAACGAAGTCTCATGATGTGTGTGAACGCTCCGTTCAGATGTTATAATCCTCTGGCCTCTGAGGTCAGGTGAGTCAACAGTATTCAGGAGGAAAACAGTTATGAGAAAGTAAAAGTGATTTCCAGGCCTGGAAGAGGTTTGGAATTAACTGAAAGGTTTGGATAAGTTTGAACATATGTTGTTTTGGCTGTTGTTTAAAATATGTTTGTTATTATGTAATTGTTTCTTGTGGGGATGCATGATTTTGGATTTTCTGCTGCCATCCAATATGCCGATATGTAGCAACTCATTTGACCGATAACAGATATCGATATATCCACTTTATCAAGTCTCTTCTGTATTAGTCTCTATATACAGACTCTACATTCAGTGAATGTAGAGTCTGTTGTCAAACCCTGGAGATCTTGCCTTTGGAAGAATAGCGGATGAGCCCTGGTTTCCGGTTGTAGGCTGTTTGTATTCTGTGTGATATTTACTAATCACGTTTGAGCCGGCTGCAGTTGTTGCCAGGTTAAACGATCCGTGCGGTGAACTAACGAGGCGGAACGTAATTGGCGTCACTGCAAACTCTGAATCCATCGCAATGGTTCAGCATATTTACTTATACTACTACTACTTACTATATAAACGGAAGTCAGAAACGGAAATTCGCCTCCTTCGCCCAAATCAAACCAGAATGCCAAAAAATCTGCCCCCAGAGGCTGTATCGCCGTCTGCCGCAAGTCAGACGGCGATACAGCCGATGGGTTCCGAGAATGCTTCTGTAGTGAATTAACATCATATTATACACACAGACTGTGATGGTGACGGCCCAACAGCAGGTGGAGACATCAAACACTGTTCAGTGTCTGTGATATTCATTCATTGTGATAAACAGGATAAAACACTTTGGCTGATTCTGTTCACTTTAATACTCTCACTAATCAAGTGTTGTTGTTGTTTTGTTTTTTTTTGCCCTAAACCACAACATTGTTGAAACGTAAAGTTTGCTACATAATTTGGTACAAATGTGATCTGTGGTTTACAGAAACCGAAAATTTGAACATTTCTTTAGGCGGTTGGGTTGAGGCGTTGCTGCTCAGGCGTATTTACATCAGTGGTTCCGTCGGTCTGAAAAATGTTTCAAAGCCATTATTGGCAAATATCGATGACGTGCTGATGTTGTTGTGCATCCCTTGTTTCTTGTGTTACTAATTTAAAATACTGCACTGTGTGACTGTTGAAACGTCACTACTATAATGTGACACACTAGGACCAGACCTGGGACACCAATCCACATGGACGGGTGGCCTGAAGGGACATGACAGTAATCTGTCTTCATTTATTAACCAAATGCTCAGGTTCAGGCCGGGTCATCGGACAGCTGTTTTTAATCCAAACATGTCTTCAGTTTCTCCAAAAACGGTGCAGCCTTGATGTTTTGTGAGGAACCCACATGTGCCGGTTTGGTCTATAGGCAGTGAGCCGTGCAGCCGGTTGGCAGCTGGAATATCGAACGAGTGAGTAACGTCACTAAGTGCTATCAGCTTGATGATCTACAAACACCTGGGAAGTGTTAAATATTGTATGACTTGATCGTTACTTAAACCTGCTCATTTTAAACTGTTTATACAGTCATGGCAATGTGTTAAAAAAAATTAGTGGAAAAGTCTTGAAAATCCATTGGTAACTTTACAATCACCGCCCCGTGGTTGTATGACTCCGCCCACCAGTCCACCCTGTGGTTGTATGACTCCGCCCACCAGTCCACCCTGTGGTTGTATGACTCCGCCCACCAGTCCACCCTGTGGTTGTATGACTCCTCCCACCAGTCCACCCTGTGGTTGTATGACTCCGCCCACCAGTCCACCCTGTGGTTGTATGACTCCGCCCACCAGTCCAGTGTCTCTGACAGTCTCCATCCATGTCAGTGAAAACATGGATGCTTCACACACAGAAGATCTATACAATCAGCAGTTTCAAGATTAGAGTCATCAATTCAGTATCTGACCAAATGTCTCCCCTTCTGTTCCTGAGATATGACGTTAAAACATGATGATGTCACAGTCAAGCTGACCTTTGACCTTTTGACCTTCATTATTTCATCCTGTTAGACATTTGTGTCAAGTTTGGTCAGAATTAGTGAATGAATTCTTCAGTTATGGCCAAAAACTTATGTTATGAGGTCACACTGACCTTTGACCTTTGACCACCAAATTCTCATCAGTTTATTCTTCAGTCTAAGTGGACGTTTGTGTCAAAATTAAAGAAATTTCCTTGAAGCGCTCTTGAGATTTCATCTCCACATGGATGGGACAAACAGACAAACCGAAAACATAATGCCTCCGGTCACGGCTGTCGCTGTGTGTGAACCCTGGAGTGTGTGAGTTTTGTGATTTGAGTGTGACGTGAGTCCCATTTTCTTTTATACCACATAAACTCTGATGATTTAAGAGAGTTAATGATCCATGAAATGACTCGTCTACACTCTGACATGTTCTGCTGCTCAGACAACCAAAGGCTTGAACGGTTGTTTAATTTGATGTTTAAGTTTGACATTTTTGTCAGAAAAAGAGACGGCGAGAAAGTTTGTTTCATTATTAATTATTATGATTTTTTTTCAGCTCTACACGATAAATTCCTTGATGATCTACTCTGGTCCTGGATTGTTTTTAGCTTTATGGTGTCTTGTCAGCTCATGCTGTTTGCACAGGAACCCTGGGACTAATACACACTGTGAAAATACTTCACTACAAGTAAAAATCCTGAATTCAAAACCTCACTGAAGTTACAGTGTGTCTCAGATCTCAGACTTCTGTACTAAACATGTCATATTTTGAGTGTGTTAAGTACGTTCACACTGCATAGTACGGGAAAATGCAGTGTACTGCTGTCGCTCTCAAAAGCTGAGTGTGGAGTGACGGACACTTCTCATCCTCAACGGTCGCCATCTTTGTGACGTAGCAAACTTCTCATCTTTTGACATGGCAGCTGGAGAAAACAAGGAGCCGTTAGTTCTACATGTTTTTTGCATTAGTACCAAAACTGTTGTCAAACAGAAGCCGTCAGTACGGCCAACAATAATGCAAGTGCTAACGTTAGCTTGTTAGCTAGCGTTAGCATATCTCTAGATGGATACATGTTCAGATTGACATCATGATAAGAAAAAGGAGAGGTCGTCTCCCAAAAACTAAAAAAGTCTCACGATCTGTATGAACACTCCGTTCAGATTAAACAAACCAGATAAGATCCTCTGGCTGCTGAGGTTGGGAAATTCAACAATATTCAGGAGGAAAACAGTGTGAAAGTGATTTCCAGGCCTGGAAAAGGTTTGGAATTAACATTTGGATATATATAGCCATGGCAGCACATTTTAATCAACACAGACGCTGTGTCGAAAGTTTTTGTTGTTAGGTCTGTAATAATTTGTTACCACCAACAATAATGCTTGCTAGCTAACTTTAGCCTCGCTAGCTAGCTAACTTCTACCTACGGCTGCACATACTAATCAGCAGTGACGTGGTGTAAGTTTGGTTTATGTGTGGGTGGAGACAGCGGTCAAATGTTGGTGATAATGCTCCACTGTCTGTTTGCAACGTGTCATTTAGTAAGAAGATGCAGAAGAAGAAGAGGCAGTTAGAAAAAGCCGTCGTCAGTTGCAGTAAGTGCAAAACGGCAGTCCTACCCTCCTGAAGTTGGTGCACCACACTGGAAGTACGTAGTGTACTAGACTGAAGCGTGAGATTTGAGACACGCTTTGAGTGTTAAAGTTTGTGCTCAGTTTAACTCCGTTGTATGACTGTCCTGTGAGAACCACGTATCTCTAAAAGGTGTCAGAAGAACAGCCTGTTTTTAGTTTTGTGACGATGCACTGTCCCGCTGATCCAAGAGGGTTTTTAAAGAGTTTATTTAGCTTTAAGAAGTCTGAGAATTTTCTCAACACATTCAGTTTATCACAAACATTCAACATCAACACATCTGGAGATACATGGTTTTCACTGGACAGGAAGTAACTGAAGTTGTCAGCAGTAAAAAGTCCAAGATTTACCTCTGAGACGGAGGAGAAGGGAGCAGGAAGTGGAAATACTCAAAGTAAAAGTACCTTGGATGTGAGAGTAGTTGAGTAAATGCACTTGCTTCCTGGTCTAGTTTGAGTTGAGCTACAATCAGTGAGACGACCACAGATCAGGGGACAACAAACGCTTTTAGTTAGAAATAAAAATAAGAAAACAGGTAAAAACTAGTTTTGTCTACAGCGACAGTGTATTGGAGTTTCCACTGAATTCCAACCAGAGTAAAAGCAGAATATTCATCCTCAATATTAGCAACTATGAAGTCACCACACACATCACTACTAAGTCTAGAAACACAACATGGCTTGGCTGACATGGTGGCTTCTGGCAAGACGCACAATATTATAGGCACTAAACTCTGGAACATGCAATATGGTGGCTGGTTACTGTAGTTTGTGCCGGGTCGAGTCCTGTGGAGTGAGTCCGATCACAGAGGGACGTTTGATTTCTGCAGCTGCGTGAGAGACTGCATGCTAACAGGTGGACTGGGCGGCAGGCGGAGCGCCAGGTACGCAGAGGTGAGGCCGCTTCAGCCTCAGGTGGATACACACACACACACACACACACACACACACACACAGTGTCACCTGTGTGAGGTCACGATGATGCGACCGCAGCCTCAGGTGAGAGGACATGGACTTTAGAGGCACATTTATTGGATCCAGGATGAAGACATTCAGTTATTGGATGTTTTCTGGTCGACGGGTGAAAAGCTCAATTTTTTAACGTCATAGTTAAAGTGCGGGAGCCTTCGCCACAGAGTCCGCTGGACACTAAGGTGCAAAACTTTATCTACTGAGAGAGCATCGACATTCAAACAGCGTCTGTACGTTCAGATCTGAGAGCTCAGGAGACTCTCTGGAGTCATTCAGCTTCCTGCAGGAACAACACAACAGAAGCTTCTTTGATAAACGGCTACAACAAACCTGCAGACACAAAAACTACAACTCCCAGGATGCATTTCACCAACAGCCAATCACAGAGCTTCGCATTATCAGCGCGCTCAAGCTGCTGAGAAAAATGATTTTACAGTTTGCAGATTATATTTTTACTGACTCGATGACTGTTTGTTTATAAAATTTCATCAGTGAACCTGCTTCTGTTTACAGGGAGTAAAACTCTACTGAGCGTGTGCAGTGAGCCGCACAACACGGGAGCAAAGCCAGAAGGTAGAAAACATTTTTGGTTTGGGTGTCCAGTGAGCCATTTTCATTCAAGTGATGGCATTTTTGATATCCAGTTCTTACAACACATCCATGATTCAACAGGACACGCCCACATCTCACTGCCAGACGTTTGGCCCCGTCTACATGTAAGCAGATATTTTCATCACCAGATATTTTCTCTACATTTGGCCTCTCGTACACACACACAGAGTTTCAGGTCACTAAATCTGAGATTTTTTTAAGACACCTTCTAAGCTGCATATTTTTAAAACTCTAGTCCCTGTTTATCCGTGTGGATGTAAAACAAAGCGCTTGAGAAACAGTGACGTCATCTCCTCAATTTGTGCACACTACCTGTTTGTTTACATATGGTTTGCACTGCTTGGTCTGATGACAACTTTACACTTAAACCTACTGTTGCTGCACCACTACACGGACAAACAGAGGCGTCTGCTGTGCCCAGTGCTGTTGCTCCACCTCAGCGTCCACTGTTTAAAGTCTGTGAGAAACGACTGTTATAGATCAGACCGGTCGAACCTGCAGACGGTAGGACGCTCTCCAGAATGGGACTGTGTGATCTCCTTAATCCTCACATTAAACAGGAATCAACATTGATGAAATTATGGTGTGTTGAAAAAGGTCACATCAGCCTGTACACTTTACTACCTTTGAGACGACGAGAGGCCACTGAGGGAACATAATGGCGGCCAGAGTTTGGAGTTGTTTTTGTGTTCTTGTGTGGACGCCGATGTTCTGTAAAACCACAACAACATTATTTTTTAAAATGGGAGGGAAAGTATTTGTTTTCTGAAATATCTGTATAGGTGTAGCCGGGGCCTTAAAGTCATGTAGACCGATGACAAGGCTGACAAGGCCCAAAAGGTGACGTTCGGGTCAAACCCCGCTGGAGATAAACTGGCCGATCTGATCACACAAGAGGTTCTTAAAAAAATCAAATGCAGGAGTTTGTGATTCTGTTACTGCGTCTAATGGCAACTAACACTGTACAACTTTCATGAGCTATCATAGGCTGCACAACGTGATTTTAGCCAAGTAGGACATGCTCCTGGATCAACATTGCAATCAATCAATCAATCAATTAATCAATCACAGCCCTCTGACATCACCAGTGTGCTGCTCCTGCGCTTCTTTAAAAATTCTTTTGTCCTTCTTCTGAGCTAAGCTAGTTTTCTAAATTGAAGTTGGTACAATTCAACAAAATGCTCAGAGACACTGAACAAAATCCATATAAACTATTGCAGGGTTAGCGAGTTAGCTGCTAACTAGGTAGGCTAGATTATTGTTTACAAAGACTTCAGATAATATTATCTTTCAATTGTAAATAGCTGTGAATAACACATTTTTTCTCCTTTTTTACAGCCTACTAAAAAAGTTTTTATTTTGGTTTTTCCAAGATCAGAGTGCTCGTGTTGACCGTGGATAATTTGTTGATCCAGAACCATCATCACTACGTTGATTCTGGATAATTTGTGTTTGTCGACATCAACAAAGCAGTAATGGGCCTGGATCAACTTAAGCAATTCTACTCAAGATCAACAAATTATCCAGGATCAACATAGCGGTGATGGTCCTGGATCAACGTATTGCACAGCAATCTTGTCACCAAAAAAAAAAAAAAAAAAGGGTCTAAATTGGCTGTGGAAAAAGGAGGAAAAATGTGTCAATCACAACTGCAAAATGATATTAGCTTTTAATGTTAGCGAACATTATTCTAGCCTATTGGCAAGCTTACTTGTTAGCATAGCCATCCTAGTTAGCAAGCTAACTCGCTAAACCTGTAGCAGCTTATAAGGATTTTGTTCATGTTTCTGAGGATTTTGTTCAATTGCACAACCTTCAGTTTGGAAAATTAGGAATTTTGAGAGAGGCGCAGGAGCAGCACACTGATGATGTCAGAGGGCTGTGACTGGTTGATTGCAATGCTGGTCCAGAAGCGCAGTGTGGGATGTTGATCCAGGAGCATGTCCTATGTGGCAAAATCACATCAAGGCGTTGGGGTTTGCACATTACACAAGTGATTGGCGACCGGCGGCCACACTTTAGCCAGGAGGAAACCTGACAAGTCTGTAGTCAAAACACACGAGGAATGATACAGGAAAAGGTCCAAAAATGGATGCACTCAAGAAGCCATCCCAACTGCTTGTGCGCTGATTTGCAGTCAAAAACAAGGAGTTCTGTTGCAGGTGTTAAGACTCCTCCCCCCTGGTGTTTCCCTCGCCCTGTACCTTTTGCTCATATTGGCTTGAGTTTGTCGCTGCTGTATTTGCCGTCAAAACTAATTTCACACTGCAGGATTTGGACTCACAGGGAGTTCCAGATATATACCTCAAAATTCACAGATAGCGATTGTTGCTCATGGGAGCGCCGATCTCTCTCTGATCTGGAACTCTGTCACCAAGCTCCAAAAACTGTTGGTGAAAATCAGAGCTCAGATCATGAAGGGTAAACTCAGCATATAACTGTAGAAACTCTAAAATATCTGAGTCTGTTTTGTTGAAACTGAATAACTTGTTTCTGCTGAATGTTTATTTCAGTTCAGACCATCAGCAGAGGTCCTGCAGGTTGTTTTATTGCTGAACTTGCTCTGCTCTCTCCTTCACGCTCCCGGATCTGGACGTACAGACTCAAACTTGTGCTCACTGAATTGTTGTGTGTTGTGACTCCACGTGAAGCTGAACCAGACCTCGTTCAGGGTTTTACTTCTGCAAAACGTCCTCCCTCACACCGCCAACATGACCGACAGTAAACCTCCCGCGAGGTCGACCTCTGTGTACGTGCGGCTCCGGTTGAAGGCCTGCAGGGTCTCCGAGCGACATGCAGGCGGTTGATTGTACAAACTGGAGGAGTGCAAACTGTTCCAGACATTCAACACGAAGACACAATAAAAATGAGTCCATTTCCCACTCTTTCATTAAGACTACAAACTAAAATAAAGCTACTGTAAAAGTGGGTTTGGTTTGATATTAAAAGCGCTTCCTTTGGAAACAAAAACACTACCGAAACAAACAGATTCCATGAAGACCAGTATGGAAGAATCTCTAACCTGGAAGAACAACTTGCTGCGTTTGAAATACTTGAAAAACGAACGAGGAGCGCTTGAGATTTTCCTATCAAACCACCGACTCGACTGTTTCTGAGGCCGTTGTGGCGTCTGACAGGAGGAAACAAGAACGCCTCGAGCTGTTCAAACATTTCAAACAATATTTAAAATGGGTTTTACAGACTCAGTTCAGAATGAGGTCTGTGTAGAGTCATAAACATGAATACTCATACATCGCTACCTGTAGGGGGCGGTCTGGAATTGGATGGAAAACGTTACAGACGCCCCTTTGTGTTTATTGTGAACTTGATGTAAAATGGGGAGGAAAAGAAAAGTGAGATTTCCAAGAAACCAGTTAAAGGTGCAAACCACCGCCCCACATCACCTCTGAGGCTTTCAGTCGTGGACTAGTTTCAGTTTGGGACTGTCAGTCAGTAGGAGGAGTCTTAGCGAGAGACGGGACTTTAAATAAGGGACTGTCAGTCAGCAGCACGGCGATGAGTTAAGGGACCGTCAGTCAATAATATCAGAGTTTAAAGCTGTATAACAGAGACAAAACAATAAACTATCAAAATACGAAATAAAAAAACAAAACAAAAGAAAACAGGTTATATTCCGGAAGCAACGTTTCGTTCAGAGTAATGTGTTGTTAAGCGTTGGTTTTTAGTTCCAAACTACTCCCCCCCTCCCCTCGGAGACTAGCGGGACACAACAGCTGCCTTTTGATTATATATACACACACACTTTTTTATCGGTTTTTCCTCTTTGTTTGTTTTTCCTAGAAAAAGACACTATCTGTTCTCCTCTCCAGCTGTCCCTCAGCGCCAGGTTGGTTCTCAGATCCAGAACTTTACAGAGTCTCCAGACAGAATCAGACGGAGTAGAAGCTGCGACAGTCCTACCAGCTCTGTGTGACGTTATCCTTCTATCTGAAAACAGTGTAAAATCATTACACGTCCATGACTAGCCCAGTCACACTCCTCTTCCAACTGGTGCTGACTCAGTCCATCAGTCTACCGATCAATCAGCCCGATCAATCAGCTGACTCTTTCGCTGACGGCAGTCCGTGACTCTACCGTTTCTTCTCGGCTGGGACAGGGGACGGCGGACTGGGGGACGATGTCTCTGAGCTCCCTGCCCTCACCTGCTGCATCTGGCTCCGCCCGGAGCCTAGCCCTACTGTCTCCCCCAGGAACAAGACCGACCCCGGCCCCGGCGACTCCTGGAGGTCCAGAAGGCATGGAGCTGGGAGGCCTCGAGGTGCTGTTTGACCCTCTTTCTCCACCTAAAACCTCTCTGCTTTCTGATGCCATGGCCGACTCCCCTCTCCCCTCTGCCCTGACGCGTTCCACACTGACCTCTCGGCTCGGCAGCAGACTTCCTCGGCCAGGTCGCGTGGTGCTCAGATCTTGGGGCTGTTCGCTCTGGTTCTGCTGAGAAGGGACCAGGTTGGTTCTGGTTAGACTGGGTGACGGTCGGTGGGATGCAAGGTGCTGCACATGGGCCCTGGTGAGCTGAGGGTGGGGTTGGGGGCGTGGCTGTGTTTGAATCCGCTGAAAGTGTGGTTGTGCTTGGGACTGGGGTGGCCTAGGCTGGGAGAGAGACTGTCGGGGTTGCGGTCTGTATTGAGTCTGGAGTTGGTGTTGTGATGGATGCCTCGTCTGCTGTTGGGGTTGCGCTTGATGCCGAGGTTGCAGGTGAGGTTGAGTTTGGACTGAGGTCCTGGACTGGGGTTGAGGCTGAGTTTGGGCCGGGGTCCTGGACTGTGGTTGAGGCTGAGTTTGGGCCTGGGTTCTGGACTGGGGTTGAGGCGGAGTCTGGGCTGGGGTCCTGGACTGGGGTTGAGGCGGAGTTTGGGTTGGGGTCCTGGACTGGGGTTGAGGCGGAGTTTGGGCTGCAATCCTGGACTGAGGTTGCGGCGAAGTTTGGGTTGGGGTCCTGGACTGGGGTTGAGGCGGAATTTGGACTGGGGGCCTGGACTGAGGTTGATGCTGAGTTTGGGCTGGGGCCCTAGACTGGGTTTGAGGCTGCATTTGGCCAGGGGTTCTGAGCTGCAGTTGAGTCTGAAGTTGGGCGGTGGTCCTAGCCTGGGGTTGGAGTTGAGGCTGCAGTGATTGCCGGGGCTGGGGTTGAGATTGTTGTTTGAGCTGGGTTTGGGGTTGAGGAGGGTGCCTGGGTTGGGTTTGAGGTTGGAGTATTGTGGGAGACTGGGTTTGTGGATGTGGATGCCTTGTTTGGGGTGGATGAACGTGCAGAATGGATGTGGACTGAGGAGGGTGTGACTGAGGTGGAGCATGCTGAGCCTGAGGCTGGATTTGATGCTGGGCTGGGGAGTGGACAGGCTGTGACTGGGATTTTTGAGGGGAAGCTGGGGTCTGACTGTGGGTTTGGGGTGGGGGTTGTTGGGACCTTGACTGGGGCGAGACATGCCTGGTAGGAGAGGGCTGGGATGCTGGGTATCGAGGCTGGACTTGGGGCTGGCTGGGAGACTGGGTCTGAGGATGCTGCTGGAAACGCGGTTGAGGCTGATGCCGCGGCTGAGGAGGAGGATGCCGAGGTTCAGGTGGGGACTGAGGGGCAGACTTGGATTGTGGTCTGGGAAGAGCTTGCTGAGTGTGCTGCAGTTGTTGAGTGGTGAGCTGAGGCACAGTCTGGGGCTTGACTTCAGGCCTGGACTGACTGGAGGGTGCTGGGTGTCCAGAGGCTGGAGGAGGAGGAGGAGGCTGATCCAATGTGGAGGCAGAGGAATGTTGGTGGCGATGATGATGATGGTGGTGGTGGTGGTGGTGATGGTGGTGGTGTTTGTGAGGTGGTCGCTCCTTCCTTTTGTGGCTTTTTGATGGGCTAATGCTACTGCTGCTGCTGCTACTCCTTCCTCCACCTCCTCCCTCTCCTCCCTTATCACCTACATCTTCATCTACTTCCTCTCCTCTGCTTCTTCCTTCTCCTGCTGCTGTTCCCGTTTTCTCCTTGTGCTTCCTCCCTTTATGCGCCTTGTGTCCATGTGGTTGGCTTTCATCTGAACCAGCGGACTGCTTCTGTGATTGTGACGGACTCTGCTCAGAAGAGGCGGGCTGAGGTTCTGAGGTTGCTGCTCCCTCCCCTTTACCTGTCTCCCCCTCTACAGAGACCCTTTTTTCAGTCTCAGTTGTTGTAGTGGTTGGAGTCTGAACGCTCTCCCTCTCCTCCACTGTCTCTCTCGTTTTGCGTTTTTTGATTGGCAGGGCTGTTTCCTGGACGACAGGTTTGGTGGAAGACTCCTTGGCTGCTCTCCGTTTGGCCTCTGCAGCTAAAATGGCAGCTGCAGCGTAGCTTCCAGGTGTTGAGCTACCAGAGGTTGATGCCGTGGAGCTGGATGCTGTGGCGACCGATGACGCTGCTGAGGCTGAGGCTGGTTTCCTGCCCCGCTTCTTCGGAGCGGTCTGTGGTGGGGCTGGAAGTTCTTGTTCTGATTTCCTCTTTCTGCCGGGACGGGACTTGGGCACCAGGGCAGGAGACACCACCTGCAGGGAATTACCACATCAACAGGTAGCATTAGCATCAACATTGTCACTACATTTTTATAAACTGTTAGAATAAGGTCCTAAAGCACAAACTTTACTTTGTCCATGTACATGTCATCCACCTGTGTTGGGTCTGCTCTAGGCAATGCATTAAAATCTTGACCATGAAAATCATAAACATAATCGCACAGCCTTGGCCGCAACACCCACTACAATACATCCTTAAGGACAAGGTCTGAGGTCTTCAACCCTGGACTGCCCAAACTCGAGTAACCCCCAAGGATCCTGCTAGTAGAATCAAGAGTTTCTGAGACTGGATATCCCCAGTCATGTAAGCAGTTCATCTAAAGCTTTGGGCAAAGTCCTGTCTCCTGAGCTGAAACCTTTCTGAGGCCTACTGAAAGTCCTTTCAATGCTGAATTATGAGTTCTTTGGACCCCTAAAGTCCATTTTGTGGCGTGCACTACTTTTTGGGTTGCCACCACAACAGGCCCCAACAACTTTCAGGTGACAACTCTGAGCAGGCACCTGAAGACCTACATAGATTCTGCGTCCACATCCTTACATGGGATGTAATGAAAGTCTTTCTGAAGGTGGAAGTTGAAGACCTTGGAGACAGGCTCATCAGCCACACGTTCTCAGTTCACTCTAACTACAAGTTTGGATTTTCTGGATCTGCTTTGCCGCCCCTGCCAAATAATTTAACAGACTACCAGCTGTATATCAGTTGGTAACTCTTGTTCTCTTGTTCATCAATAAGGGTTGCTGGTACCAGGTTCACTTTTGAACCACCTTATGATCAACCTGATCATTGAGTTCTCATGTTAATGATGAATCCTCCATGCATGCTAAAGTTTGTGACAGAGTTCCACAAGGTTCTTCATTTGGAACAATTCTATACATTTTATACATGCTTCCCTTGGGCAATTAAATTAGAAATCACTCCATAAAGTTTCATTGCTATGCAGATGATACACAATTATATCTATCGATCAAGAAACCAATCAGCTTACTAAACTACAAGCATGTCTTATGGACCTAAAAACCGGGGTGAGCTACAGTTTCCTGATGTTAAACTCAGACAGAAGTAAAGTTATTGTTCTTGGCCCCAAACACCTCAGAAACTCTCTATCTGAAGATATAGTTTCTCTAGATGGCATTGCCCTGATCCCCAGCACCAGTGTAAGGACCCTCTGTGTAATATTTGATCAAGATATGTCCTGTAACTCCCATATAAAACAAACTTCACAGACCGTGTTCCTTCACCTGCGTAATATTGCCAAAATTAAGCCCATTCTGTCTCAAAAACATGCAAACTGATCCATGCATGTGTTACTTATAGGCTGGATTACTGTTATTCCTTATTATCATGTTGCTCCAACAAGTCTTTAAAAACTCTCCAGCTAATTCTGATCATATTTCTCCTGTTTTAGCTTCTCTGCACTGGCTCCCTGTAAAATCCAGAATTGAATTTAAAATCCTACTGTTAACTTATAAAGCTCTAAATGGTCAAGCTCCGTCATATCTTAGAGAGCTCATAGTGCCATATTATCCCACCAGAACACTGCGCTCTGAGAACGCAGGGTTACTCGTGGTCCCTAAAGTCTCCAAAAGTAGATCAGGAGCCAGAGCCTTCAGCTATCAGGCTCCTCTCCTGTGGAATCATCTTCCTGTTACGGTCCGGGAGGCAGACACCGTCTCCACATTTAAGACTAGACTTAAGACTTTCCTCTTTGATAAAGCTTATAGTTAGGGCTGGCTCAGACTGCCTTGCACCAGCCCCTAGTTAGGCCTTCTGTCTCCTTAGTCTTCTCTCTATCTCCATTTGCAAACATTCACGTCCCATTAATGCATATCGCTAACTTGGCTTCTCCCTCGGAACCTTTGCGCTCCCTTGTGTCACAGATTCCGTTGGATCGAGGTTGCATCTGGATGGTGTGACGTGGTTGTGCTGCTGCTGTGGTCCTGCCAGATGCCTCCTGCTGCTGTTATTATTAGTCATACTTCTACTGTTATTATACACATATGTTCATTATTGTCACATACATATACTATTATAAATTAATTTAGACATAAAACATACATTACGCTATTATAACAGTACAATTATTATTCATATTTATTTTACTATTGTTATAGTTGCTTTGGCCATCATTGTATCTGCTGTGCATCTGTCTCTCTGTCTGTCGTCCTCAATGAATCATTTCCTAATATAGATTACTGTAATTTTATTATGTTGATCTGTTCTATACACACGACATCTATTGCACGTCTGTCCATCCTAAAAGAGGGATCTTCTCTTTCTGAGGTTTCTACCATTTTTTTCCCCCATAAAAGGTTTTTTGGGGAGTTTTAACTTTTCTGCAGTGAGGGTCTGTGGACAGAGGGATATTGTATGTTGCAAACCCTTTGAGGCAAATTGTGATTTGTGAATTGAATTTTATTGAACAGCATGCCCAGGAATCACAAAATTTGTCCCACGCAGCCTTCAGCTGCTTAACAAGCTCTGATCACCTGGTCTGGAAACAGCACTTCTTAAACTTGATGCCCTTTATCAATTTCCCAGTGATGATACTTTTAATGCTGTTTAATGATGTTTGTTTTATGTTATGTGCTGTTGTTGATGTGTTCTTTGATATTACTTAATGCTCAGTTGTGCAAAGCAAATATCCTGTTAGGGCAACGAAGGATTCATTCATTTATACTTTAGCACAGAACACGATTTTACAAGGTGAATGATTGACTTTTTTTTCTTGTACCCAAGTTTATTAGATCCATGTGGCACAGTGTAGCTGCAATAAACTCTCACAGTCTTAAAATCACACACTGGAGCGACATGATGCCACCGTTGTTTAGTTTGTTGTAAAAACGCAAAGGCGGCGTACAGAAAGGACATCACAGCAGCTCTATAGCATCATGTGGGGAAAAAAATCTACATACGTGGGTCAAAGGTTAATTTTTAGAGAGTTCGGCACCCTTTCACTAAGAGTTTTGTTTTGCTGCTTGAAAACGTATTTCTCCCAGAATTCCCAGGTGGAAGGACTGGAGGAATTTGCTTGAGAAAAGTATATTTGTTTAGTTGCTCTCATCCTTAAAATATATACATCTCAAAAATGTATGGATTACAGATTATTCTTAGAGACTGTAAAGAACCTGGAACACCTGCCTCTCAGAAACTGAAATGAAAAAGGTTGCAGCGTATGAAAGGATGTCGTAAAGGAAATGATGCAGAAAAGTAAAGTGGGGAAGGTATATTGCTTTTTTAAGAGCACAGGAGTGAGGGTAAGGTGGAAGCACTTTAATCACAAGTGCTGTCAGGTGGATTTTATGTTTTTATGTTCTTGTAAATCCTCACCTGTACTAAGGATTAATGTATTTGTTATTTTTTTATTTATTTTACATAGATTTTATTTTTTTGAAGCCACATTATTGATGTACTTATTGTTTCTCACTCGTGTTCTGGGTGTTACAGCGGGTTGGGAGGGAGGATTTAAATTGTATTTGGAATTGGTGTTCACTGATTGTTTTACAAAGTGAAAAATAAAAATTTCTAGAAATAGGACTAGAACCACCGCCCCGTGGTTGTATGACTCCGCCCACCAGTCCAGTGTCTCTGACAGTCTCCATCCATGTCAGTGAAAACATGGATGCTTCACACACAGAAGATCTATACAATCAGCACAGTTTCAAGATTAGAGTCACCAATTCAGTATCTGACCAAATGTCTCCCCTTCTGTTCCTGAGATATGACGTTAAAACATGATGATGTCACAGTCAAGCTGACCTTTGACCTTTTGACCTTCATTATTTTATCCTGTTTGACATTTGGGTCAAGTTTGGTCAGAATTAGTGAATGAATTCTTCAGTTATGGACAAAAACATGTTTTGTGACGTCACACTGACCTTTGACCACCAAATTCTAATCAGTTTATTCTTTATTCCAAGTGGACGTTTGTGTCAAATTTAAAGAATTGCTCTTAAGCTGTTCTTGAGATATCACTTAAAAGAAAATGAGACAGACAAGGTCGCAGTGACCTTGAGCTTTGAAAATACAAAACTTATCTGTTCATTGTCCAAATTTTAAAGAAATTCTCTTGAGGCATTCTTGAGATATCGCGCTGACACGGATGGGACGGACGAACATAAGAACAGGCGGACGTACAGCCTGAAAACATAATCGCTCCAGTCACGGCTCTCGCCGGCGCAGTGGTGTATAAAAAACAGAAGACATATATGGATTATGGGTGACAGAGTGAGTGTACCTTTGAGGCAGTGGAGGTGGTGCCAATGGAGGACTCTGCCTTGCCGAAGGGCATCTTGACCAGCAGTTTGCCCGGAGTTTTCTCAACCACACGTTTCATGGCCACGCCCTCTGTCGCCTGCCGCATTTTCCCACTGCCTACACGACCACAGAGACGAGTAAACACATAGGACAGAGAACACATATGAATCCCGCCGCTTTCAGTTCAATAACTTCAGTTTCATCTTTAATGTGAGTGCTGGAGTACCTTTGGGCCGCCCCCGGCCTCGCCCTGATGGTTTCACCACCTTGGGTTTTTTGGGGGGACGCTTCTCGCGGCGGGAGGGGCTACCGCGACCGGTGACAGTGAAATCAAAATCGTTGGGGTCGGTGGTCGTGTCGCCGACCTTCTGGAAGTAGGCGATAAGTTCCACCTTGGAACGAAACGCTTTTCCCTCCGAGCTGAAAAACGAGACAGAAACAACAAACATCATCTCCGATATCGTTCATTCACTCCGTCTCATCATCATCAGGGGTGGGCGTGGCTTACTTGATCAGGTAGACATCAAACTTGCCCGCTGATCGTCCAGACTTCCTCTGTTTGAGTTTGCGGGTCCAGCCTTCAGGCAGCGACGGGTCGTCGTACAGTGGCCCGCGGTCCCGGATGACGGAGCGCCGCTGCCTGGGAGAACCTGCAGACTCACTGCCGGCCGCCGACTCTGAACCTGGCTCTGAGGGGCCCGCCACCGGCTCCGACGCCTGCAGGAAGGACATGAAACCAGGTTTACATTGTTTGGTAGCTGGCCGACCTCTGACCCCTGCTGTTACACCACCTGTCTTTACCTGGGTCTGTGGCTCCGCCCCCGCCTGTGGCTGAAGCACTGAGGCTGTGGTCTCCGCCCCCCGCTCAGCATGGTGACGCTCCTTGCGGGCCTTCTTGGTCTTACTGTGGGACCTGTCTCTCTCTCTGGAGGGAGGCTGGGGGTCGACAGGTCCCTCCTCCCCCTCCTGACCCTCCTCTCTGTGAAAGAGATGACATCATGCCTGTTAACATTAGATCACCCATGACATCACAGCTGCACAGCATTTCCCGAGGTCAAGACTCCAAATCTGACAACTAGCTCACACAGTGATTGGTCAGGTGTGTGCAGGTGTGAAAGTGGGCGGAGTTTCTCAGCTTGTTTTTTTTTCCTGTCCTTTTCATGTAAACTTAGTGAAACACTGTGACTGTCCTCCTGAATGTGCGCTCTGATGTCACGTGTCAACGATCTATTGTACAGAGACCACAAAGACACCTGGACGCAGCCAGAATCCAGTGGCACCTCATCCTAACTGAACTGTTCTGGATTCATTTGATAGTCACAGAGACACAGGAACTGGAATTGAACCAGTGATGTGATTACAGGGTAAGCCTCCTAACCACTCGGCCACCAGGCGGCCCCGCTTGAGATTTTTCACTGAAGTTCGTTCAGGTTCAGGAGGAAGAGCTACAGATGTCCAGGGACACAGACAAACAACACTGTTCCTTCATTCTTCCTCTCTTTCGTAAAATTATCACTGTCACTATTTCCTCCTGTCACTCAATCTGTTTCCATGACAACAGAGAAAATGGATTTATTAAACCAGTCTTTTAAAATCCCTGTGAACATGTCAGTGTGAGTGAAATGTTCCTGCAGTGAATTTGTCACAGTGGGACTAACACACTCAGGTCATGTGACTCCTGCATGTATACAGTCAATCAGACCCAAACTGGCCGAGGCGCTCTGAGCATGCTCCACAGTTTCCGCCCCGGGCTTTGACCCGGAAGTCCAATAGCATTAAATGTGTAAGAGAAGACAAGTGTAGATGACCTGACGTGACCCTGACCACATCTGGTTATGTGAGGAGAAGGATTCTATACAATCAGCACAGTTTCAAGATTAGAGTCACCAATTCAGTATCTGACCAAATGTCTCCCCTTCTGTTCCTGAGATATGACGTTAAAACATGATGATGTCACAGTCAAGCTGACCTTTGACCTTTTGACCTTCATTATTTTATCCTGTTTGACATTTGTGTCAAGTTTTGTTATAACTGGTGTTCGGGCTGGAAATGAATCAAAACCAACATTCAGTACTTCTAACTGACGTAATCTGGACCTTGTGGGTAATTTTTTTTTATTCTGTTAATACTTTCCCCAGTGTGTGTGTGTGTGTGTGTGTGTGTGTGTGTGTTCATGTACTGTCCCCTTAAAAATGTACTACTGCGTGTGTAGTCACGTGACTCTGCCTCGTCCAGTCATCGCCCTGGAAGCAACGTGGAGGAGAACTCGAACAACAAGCCAACAGGAGCAGCTCGTACCAAAGAGAAACGCTGTGTCCGTTGTTTGGACACATTTTGGCTTTCATGAAAACAACACTGAATAAAAAGAAATCAAATGTAAACACTGCGGAAAAACTGTTTCAGAAAGGTGACATCAGCAATCGTACCGAATATGAACAGTACACAGCTCGACTGACAGACACCTCCACACAGCAGCTCTCCGTAACACAGCATTTACAAAGGTCACACACTCTGAAACACATTCAAGACAATAGTTCATCTGTGTGTTTCCTTCAGTTATATTTAAAATCAGAAGATTCACTCTTTGATAAGAAAAAAAATCCCAGCTTTAATAGTTGAGCATATTTAAACCTTGTCAGTGAACTCTGACGGCAAAAACAAAACAATCATTCATTAATGCTATCGAGGCCAAATGCTCAATTAATCGTGATATTCATTTGAGGTCATATCGCCCAGCCCTAATTAGTGCATGAATTCTTGGGTTTGGCCAAAAACAAGTTGTGAGGTCAAAGTGACATTTAACCTTTGACCACCAAAATCTAATCAGCTCATCCCTGACTCCAAGAGGACTGTTGACCCAAGTTTGAAATAATTCCCTCAGAGCGTTCTTGAGATATCGAGTTCACCAGAATAAGACGGACAGACGACCCAAACACGTAACGCGTCCGGCCACGGCTATCGCCAGCAATACCAGAATTTGGTTTACATAAACATGGCTGCTGATTGGGTAACATCTCTGACACACCCACCAAACAAGAGGAAACGTACCCTAAAGCCTGTTTCACACCGTCGCTCAACCTGGAGGCCGGAGCAAAACAGTGCACAGCGTTTTCACACTGAGCGTGCTCCAGGTTGTGATTAACAGGAAGTGATGTTCTGATGTCCTGTTTCTCCTTTATGATTTCACATTCACAAACAAAAAGTTTGTTTTTTTTCTGACTGTCTGCTTTCTGTCTGCTTTTTTTATGAGCTCTTTTGTCTTATTTCTGTTCTGCGCATTATATTTATCGATCAGTCTGATTAGTTTGCTAATTATTAAATTCATCTTGTGTCAAATAAAAATGCTCCTCAAAATTTTATTAATCATTAACAGCTGATCATACTAGTCTTAATCATCTTGAGTGTTTTAATCTGTGTTTGAAAGCAAAAAAAAAAAAAGCCAAATGTTTACAGACTTCATTCATTTACTTCTGAACCATCAGTCTTTAATTTGAGGACAAGAAGAAGACTTGAACTGTTGAAATCTGCCTCATGCTGCAGCTGACAGATGATTTTAACATCCAGATGTTTAGAAGAGGAAGTGACGTTAAACTGGGCACCATCTTTACTCGACCCACGACATGACAACACAGATCCCAGATCAGTCCATCACCCTGCAGGACCAACAAACTACAGACACAAAGTCCCGATCTGTGGTCAGTCACATGTTTCTCCCTACGCTGTGTCAACTTCTCAAATCATCTTTAATCAGTACAAAGAAACTTCATCTTAAAATTTAAGTATTAATTATATTTTCGAGCAGAAAAGATGAAGACGTTGATGCTTCTCTGTTTTTCTGTCTCAGTAAACTGAATCTGTTTCTGTTGGTCCAAAGTTTAAAGACAAAACCTTTAAAACTTAAACATTTCCTGACATTTTACAGACGAAGCAGTTCATCAAGAAACAAATCAAAACAGATTTTAAGAAATGGATTAATGGATGTGAAAATTAATAAGAAGAGGATAAATAAACCTGTCCTCTTTGTGCCAGAGGCCAGACCTCAGAGGCCCCCAACCTGAGAGGCCCTCGGCCAGATGATAAAACATCTGGATCGTCCCCTGGCTGCAGTACAGGTCATAAACCCCGCCCCCTCCATGTTAGCCGATGGGACACGGGCCAAACTAAAACTATGCGTCCTTCAAATTTTTCCCAAAAGCGGTTTCTGTAGTTTAAAGCCGTTCTTATCAGGCTGCTGTTTGTTCACGTGTTTTCTGATCAGTTTGCTTTAATCAGTTATTTAATTCTATAAGAGGCGGGTTTGAGGACATGATTGACAGCTGTTTGAACCAATCAGTATGCTCGCTATCAATGGTGCCGCTTGTGATTGGGCCAAAGGGTGTATGGGCGGGAATGCTCCATATTATGTCACCTGCGTAAGATGGCAGTGACCACATCCAGACATTTCGGCTTCATTTTTGTACAGTGGGAGGAAGTGGAGACGCGTCATCCATCTTTATACACAGTCTGTGGTTCAGCAGTTAGAAGCCTCATTGTTACACTTTTTACATCCTGCTCGTTATGTCTGCGTGTGTGTGTGTGTGTGTTTGTGTGTGTGTGTGTCTCTGCTCATCTCTGTTTAGACACAATTGACAAACACATGGAATCATGGGATACATTTCTGTCATTTATCATCTAATTATCTAATTTAACCTTTATAATGTTTAGTAGAGATTTCCAGTGTGTTTGTGTGACTCGCAGCTCGCATGAGAAATAGACCAGACGCCGAAACTATAACTGCAGGGCGCTCGGCACCGCGCCGCCGCCAGTGTGAACAGCCCAATTGGTTAACACAGGCACCGAAAGCAAGCGGACAGTGCTCCGAAGAAAACCGGCGTGCCTCCGCGTCCAGTGTGAACGCTGCGTAAAACTGTTTTTAGTACCAGGCTGTAAACATGTGTATTTCTACACGTTAACATGGAGGTCTGTGGGGACTGACTCACTGTTGGAGCCAGCCTCTAGTGGACATTAGACGAACTGCAGGTTCTAGCTTCATTTTTCAGCCCCCAAGTCGCCGCTTGCATCAGATGTCCGAGTCTTAAATTATCAGAGAAACAAGCTGAGCTAACGTTAGCTGTTGCTCGGCTCCAGCCCCGGCTGTGCGTCGGAGCGTCGGAGAAACACTGATTTTTAGCGTGAAACGTCTTTATGCTCTGTGAGATGTGTGTAAATTACTAACATTACAAATAGAGATTAAACTTTTGGTCACTTACTAGAAAGATATAATCAGTTGATTTTTCAGTTCACAAGAAACAATTTTGTGCAATAATAAAAGTCTAAAGTGAGATGAACGACTGAAAACTTTATCTTATTAGATCAAACAGATGTTTTCCTCTGGGTACAGAAACGTATCGATGCCACGCCAGAAAAAAACAAAAAACAAAAACAAAACAATCAGTATCAAGTAATAATAATGTGAAAAATTATTATTTTTCATGTTGTAACAAATCATTTTTGTTATAACAAGATGTTTTCATGTTATAACATGAAACTGTTCTTGTATAGAAAATAAACTTTTCTTGTTATAACGTAAAAACAATTCTTGTAAAAATGTGAAAAACATCTTGTTATAATAAGAAACTGTTCACGTCATCACCAGATACCGATCGTTGTTTTTTGCTGACAGAATCTGCAGTTAAAAAAAAGGTAAAAACAATATGTTATCACGATACTCAGCATATCGTAACATGTTCAAAATCGCAGCCCACCCAGAGTTCAAACGGTTAATTTTTGGACAAATTTGAAAAGAGATGTAGAATAAAGTGATTTTAATGAAATGTCACTATTTTAAACTCAGATTTTGTTATTTATTATTTTATCTGACGCAAGCGTTTTTTGCACATGATGTGTCCAAGGACCGCTGGAAATTTGAAAATCAAGCAATAATTTACGTTTTACAGTCCCTGGATGATAAATGGGGTCATTTTGGCAATTTTGAAGTAAAACCTGCGCAACAAACCTGAATAATTTCTTCAAAAATCAGCGTACAATAAACACTAATTACAACCATGTACAGGGTTCCCACAAATTTTTATGGACAAAATTTCCAAACTTTTCCGTGACTTTTCAGGAACCCGTAATAACTATTTTTTTTTTTTCGCCATATATGCTCGGCAATTTTAAAAATATCAGATTCAAACATAATTTCAGCTGGCTGAACATGACGGGACAGACGAACCCACGAAGAAAATGATGAAACGTAAGTGATGGTAAAAAAACATTATCACACACTGACACACATTAGAGCTACGTTACATCTTCCACGTCTTTACGTAACTTTACATGTAAGGTGAACTACAGAGGATTATTGTAACAATTTCATTATACTCAATAAAACTCCCCGACCTTTCCAACACATTCAAGTATTTTTAATAATTCCATGACTTTTGAATTTCATAGTCAAATTTTTTTTGTCAGGTTTTATTGTGTGTAATGAAATTGTATCTTCTGTAGTTCATCGTACACCTAACGTAAGATAACAACAAATTAATTTTCTGTGGCTGTTGACATGACGTAGCTCTAACATGCGTCAACGTGTGATAACATTTTGTTTACATCACATACGTTGCGTTATTTTCTCTGTGGGTTCGTCTCTCTTGTAATGTTTACTCGCTACTTTAAATTATGTCTGAATAGAGTCTGTTTCTAATGTGTTTAAAAATGCAAAGAAAATGGGGCAAGAAAATGTGAGCGTGAAATTCCACAATTTTTCCAGGTTTTCCATGACCACGGGAACCCTGTGTTTATATTTGTATGGCCCTCCCCTCAGCCACAGTGAAAAACATAAGTCACTCCACAGTGCTTTAGAACTATTTGATATGCCTCCCCCTTATTAGTAAAGAACAGCCCCTAACTGGTTGTGACCAGCTGTTTCCTCCTGCAGGCCTGAGGACGTACACCACCGTATTAATTAATTAAAGACGAAGAAGAATGCCTTCTAACAATCACATGATCATGTCGTCATGTCTGCTGCTGACCCCTCACTCTGATCACATGACCTCTTGTTGGGGTCCCGACCCTCAGGTTGGGAACCCCTCTGTGTGGTGATGATGAAGCTGCAGGTGGAGGTGAAGCAGAGCAGAACAGGAAGTGAGCCCTCCCCTCCCCCCGCGGAGCGTCCGGTACATAAACAGCCGCGGGTTCGACTCCAGCCTGGACACACACACACAGAGTCACACACACACAACTGCCTGGCTCAGCAGCACTGAGGCAGCTGCCTGCTAATTATGATGATGATGATGATGATGAGGGTAATAATCTGATTAAACTGTCTGACAGGGGGCGGGGGCAGATAACGGGATGTGTGTGTGTGTGTGTGTGTGTGTGTGTGTGTGTGTGTGTGTGTAACGGGGGGTTAACCCGGGTACAGCAGTCTAAACACTCAGCCTGATGAAAACACACTCTCAGTGTTTGCTAACGAGCTAGCAGCCTGTTAGCTCCCTGCCTGTCTGACGGAGGCGGGCGGACACACCGCCGAGCCCCGGACACACCATCGCCGACCCCCGGCCTCACTTCCCGGGGAGTTGTGTGGAAGTCAGAGCGGCCCGGCGGCTCACGGGCACGCGGGCTAAAGCTAAAGCCGAGCTCCGTGCCTCCGCTCCGGCTACAGCGGCAGCTAAAGTACGGACTGAGCAGTAAGTTGGTGACGTATTCCCGCTAACCCCGCTCCGCCGAGACAGGCCGGGGTAAAAATCAACGCACTTTTACTTCAATAAAACACACGACACAAAACGGTCGGCGGCGGCGGCGGCAGCGGCGCTTTAACGGAGGATAAAATGTAAAAGACCCCACTTACAGTCTTTCCTCTCCGCTCTCCACGGCGGCCATTTTTATTTAAATAAATAATTTTATATTAAAAAAAAAGCCTCCAAACATCTCTGCTCCCTCCTGCTGCACCCCGCCCCCTCCGAACATCGCGAGATCTGCGCGTAGATGAGGTCAACGCAAGCGCAGGGGCGGTGTAGTCCCGCGAGATGTGAACTCTCATCGGTCACACTGAGACGTTCAGGGACACGCTCCAAAAAATCCGTAAAAATAATAAACAAAGAATCTGAAGCTCCACCGACCGTTAATACTTGATGTAAAACATCCAGAGTGAAAATATTAAATTAATTAAACAAATATAATAATGAAAATACATTAAAACAACTAAATATGGACTGAAATAAAAAACTAATGACAAACAGATTTAAGGGTTAAATCTAAAATATAAGTTTAGTCAAACAAATCTCATCAAATGTAGTTATAAAATACACAAGATAACAAAATATTGACTGAGATAACAAAATATTGACGAACAAAGAAATAATTCTTAAATATTAAATTAATGGAAAAAAATTACTAAGTAAAGGCATGTACATGTTGTCTTGTAAACATTTCTTATTCTTATTTCTACTTGTGTATATACAGTGTTTTATACTCTAACATTATACACATATCTTTATATTTCGAAGTTTACATATTCATTTTAACATCGTATTGTAGCATAAGGCACATATTTTTATGTTTACACACTTTATATTCTCAGCACAATATACATATTTCATATTTTAGATATTCTACATATTGGTGTTAACACTGTAGCACACTGTACATATTTCATTTTTATATTTTTACATACTTTGTATTTGTCCTTCTAAGTTGACAATAGAAACAGGAGGTTAGTCTGGGTCTGGTAATGTTGGAATATCAGCTGATCATAAAACAAACTTTTTTTTTTTAGTTTTGCAGAAATGTTTCCAACTGAAGTTTGTGTCTGCACACACTCCCACTGTCCTACATTTTTTGTCAGTGTTGCTCCTCCAATAAATGGTAGGGTACGAACTGATATTGTTGCCATTTTCTTTTCTGTATGGATCCATTTTGCATTTGTTTTAAGTGTCATTCACTTATTCTTTATAACATTTGAAATCATCTTATTCCATATATTTGAATTGGTAATGTTTGGAACAGGAATAACAGATGTGGAGTCATCATTTTGTATTATTTCACATGGTGTTGACCTCCATCTATCTAAATCCTGTCATATATTGTTTTCTAAAACACAATAACTATTGTCATTCGAATCTCCTAAGTTTTTACTAACATTATTACCCTTCTCAGTCACTGAGTCGACTGCAGAGGACTTAATCAATATAATGATTGAGGGTCACTGAAATCAAATCCAACATCCAAGTTCACACAGTATCCTCTGCTGTCATGAGACACTGTGGAGACGTCCGCTCATTTCATTCTGCTTCTTTTCAGATGTTAAAATACATTTGGTGTCTGAATTATATTGGTTTTTTTTTGTTATCTCTGCTACAGTAGAAGAAGAACAGCAGGATGACTACAGACTTGCAGACATGCTTTATACAAACTTTCAAACATGCTGACACGTATATGTATGTGAGAGTGTGAAAGTATGAAAACTTTCATACGCAATCTGATCGTTAGCGACTCTGTTCTGCTCTTAAAAAATTCATGCATGTTACTCCAACTTAGACAGTCAAAAAATATCAGTAAACAAGAACGACTCCTTCCAAAAGCATAGAGTGCTAAAACTCCAAAAAGAACGCTAAAAATCTGAGATGTCACAGGATGTAAAGTCTGGAGCTGCTCCACAGAGAATGAACAGTGAAAGATGTTCTAGGTTTGTGGTTCCCAACTGGTGCAGCCACAGGTCCAGATTCTTACTTAGTCATGAGTTCATGGTCCACACAGTGTAATATATACTCAACGTCCAGCTAGTTTGCTGTCTCTGTCCAGTAGCTCTGCGCTAGAAATTAACCGTACTTCAAAATAAAGTGTGTTTTTTGCAAACTTGACACATTCGCGAGTCACTTTTGGTCCATTCAGAGTGGACCCTGACCCAGCAGATGGGAACCACTGCTCTAGATGACACTGAGAGCAGCCAGGGAAACGTTCTGAGTATATGGGAACATTTTCTGTTTCACAGCTGAGAACTCTACAGTAGAATAAAGATCATAGTCTCCCACTCACTGTCTATGGAGCAGCTCCAGACTTTATACCCTATGACGACACAAGTTAGAGACGTCTCTCTCTGGTTTCTGGCTCTGACAGAGTCGTCTTCACTGATGTTGACTGAACTTTCCGAGGACACGGACGTAAAATATTGAAATTCGTATTTTAGGTGGTGTTCCCATTTAAAGGGAGACACTATAGGTTAACAGAGTAAAACTTTTATTTTATAGATTTCACCATGAAACTTCCGCAGATGATTATTTATTTTAAGACGATGATTTTCACCAATATTTTGATTTATAACTTTTTAAGTACATATTCTTCTCTCAGTAACTGATTACAGTTACATTTCTGGTTACTCCCCAACAATGCCATATTTTTCAAGGTCACAGTGACCTTTGACCTTCCACCACAAAATTCTCATCAGTTTATTCTTCAGTCCACTGGGCGTTTGTGCCAAATTTGAAGAAATTCCCTCAAAGTGTTTTGAGATATTGCGCCCACGAGAATGAGACAGACAAGGTCACATTAACCTTGACCCCTGACCACCAAACTCTAATCAGTTCATTCTTCAGTCCAAGTGGACATTTGTGCCAAATTGGGAAAAAAATCCCACAAGGTCTTCTAGAGATATTGCATTCATGAGAATGCAATGGACAGGGTCACAGTGACCTTGACATTGACCACCAAATTCAAACAAGTTCATCCTTGACTCAAAGTAGACATTTGTGCCAAATCTGAAGAAGTTTCCTCACGTTGTTCTTGAGATATTATGTTCACCAGAACACGACAAATGCAAGGTCACAGTGACCTAGACATATGACGACAAAGATGATGTTTGTGCCAAATCTGAAAACATTTCCTCCAGGTCTCCTCAAGATATCAGGTTCATGACAATGAGACAATTGAGGTCACAGTGACTTTGACCTGTGACCAGCAGAATCTAATCACTTTATCGTTGGGCCAAATTTGACAACCTGAAAACATGACACCCCCACCTACAGCGATCGCTGGCGTGGGAGGCAAAATGAGCCTTTGTTCAAAATGTAACTTTATTTGTTTAACAGACTGAACCAAAAATAAAAACCAGTGTGGTTTTAAAGAACATGGCGGAGACAGACAGCAGCTTATCGTCAGTCTTTATTTGAGGTAAACGAGGGTTCAGGCAGAGCTGTGTCTCAGCTGAACGCGGCAGATCTCAAAATCTGAGGAGGATTTTCGGGGGAGTCCAGGCGTGGAGTTGAAAGCCCTTAACTGCTGGGAAACTGTCGGAGAGAAAAACTCAAAGATGACGGAAACACAAAAATTCAGACAAGACATAAACACCAGTGGAGCGTCTGCTGTCCAGTGTGAAACCAACAGAAATCCAGTTCTCTCTGTCAGAATAAAAAATATCGTCAAACATTTAAAAAAGAAAACACACTGAACACACACTCAGGTTCTCCCGTCCAATAAAAAAACAACTTAAGTCTGAACGCCTTCATTTATGAGAATAAAAATACACGTTATTAAAATATGAGAACTATAATCCTCCACGCTGCACTGCGAGCGGCAGAGCAGGAAGAACATCAGCATTAAAATACATCAGAGATCCTGATATAGAAAACCTTTAGAACACAAACATGAGAAGGACAGAATCACACTGAACGCCTCTCAGGCTGCCATCAAACAGGAAACAGAATTAACTGCTGACTTTCATCCTGATTTCACAGCAGAAAGATGTTACTTATTGTTGTATTTTCCTTGTGGAGTTTAACGTCAGTCGACTCTGTGAACTTGTTTCTAAACTCTTTCCAAAGCTTTTTTTTTCTTGTGGTCAAAGATTACTGTTCATCAGGAAACCACAGATTTTAATAATAACGAGATGGACTACAAGATGGCGTCTTTCACTCCAATGGAGCTGCTCGCCTAGTTCTGTCAGCACAGGCAGAGCCCTCTTTCCAGGGATCCTGTCGCTCCCACGCCGCTCACTGAAGAGGGTTTAGGATAGGTAGATAGATAGATCATACAGCTCCTGTATAAACTCTGGGCTCTGGGTAGGCACGTCCTGATTGGCTGGCTATGTTCATGCAAATTTCAGTGGGGGGATGCCTGCTCATGGTTGGAGGAGCGTGTTACTCAAAGGATCCAGTTGAGGCATAGATTTAGATAATAACTAGATTGCAGATGCCAAGATGGCGCCTATTCATTCCAGTGGAGCTGCTCGCATGCTGCATACACAATAGAGTTTCTAGCTTCCTGGTTTACCTCCACAGTATGCGGCCCACTGAATATGTGCAGTAGTGTTTCTCCTGCTGGTCCCTCCCACGAGATTTTTAAATCTCTTTTCTAGGAAAGTTTTACAAATATAAATCCTCAAAACTTCAGAATAGAAAAACTTATACTTTTCAATTTTTTTTCCCTTTGTTTCGTCCATTTGTCTGTCTTGGCTAAAATGTTACCAGACCGAATGGTTCGAATCTTTTTCAATAGTTGTGATGGTAAAATGTTTCCACTGATTTACAAACGTCTCTCTCAAAGTAAGTCAATGTAAAAAAAGTCTTTTTGGGCTCAGTGACATCACATGATGAACCAGGAGGTTTTAATTCAACCGTTTGGTCAAAACTGACATCAGAGCACGGATCTATCAGGGGAACAGGATACAGCGTTAAACACGGGGCTGTGGTCATTCCCATTAAAGTTTCTCAGTGGCACATGAAGCCAAAATGTTTTAGTTGCAGCATATAACATTACCCAGATGACCCGGGGCTGATAAACACTGTGTGGCCCAGAGCGCAGGCGCACTAGAGACATAAGGCCTGTGCACATGCTGCATCTTTAACCGCCTGGAAAACACAAGGTCAGGCACTGGGTGCTGCTCTTGTGCCTTTTTTGTGCCAACTTTCAAGTGCGCAGTTGCAGTTTGCATCTGAGGTTGCTAAGCAACCATATCAACCCTGAGAGCAGAGTTGATCTACTTCCTGTGTGTCTGTGGGACAGATATGACGCTCTGACAGCTCTGCACTAACATGATCAACTTCTCCTCCATATTTATCACACACTGATATTTACTGAAGAAGGAAAGATATCTGTCAGCTGTGATTGGTTGGCTCTTGTCACATGACATGCGGGGCGCACTGCTGCGTTCCAGAAGTCGAACTCAGGGCACAGTCGTCGCTCCTTGAAAAATAGGCACTTGTAAACACGTGTGCCTCGACGGTGTCGCTCTGGTGTTTGAGTGTGCCTGCTGTACAACTACATTGAAAACAATGAATTTAAGGACGCAAAAAATGCAGCATGTGTACAGTACGGCCCTTCAGGGTCACGGCCGAGTGCAACTGAGCGTGACCAAGTGTGGCAGAGTGTCATACCTCCCCTGGCTGAACAGCTGACCTCTGGTGTGGCTCTCCACTAACTTGAATGGGAATTAAATGTCAGACCGAATAGATCAATTCTTGATGGTGAAACGAGTCTTTTCGAGGGCTGTATGCCCCTCCAAAAAATTCATCCACTGATTAACATAAGACTCTTTGCCATGTGTGTTGATGGTAAAAAGTCTTGGACCCTGGAAGTTGCAGTACCACTGTTTGGCCACTGGGAACACTGGCTTCAAAGCCCGGCACGCTTTCTCTGGGACTGGATAAATGCTGCTACACAAGCTAACACTGCTGTGTGAGTGGCTAATGTTTGGCTAGACTCACAAGTCAGTCTTTAGACGCTTTGCTTAACTAAAGACTGATGTCTTTCTCCCTGATTTTGTGTTTAGATGGGCGGATACAATTTCAGAGTTTAAAAAAACTCCCTACTTTGCAGAACCAATAGTAAATCTGCAGGGCGGTCCTTCGGTGGCTCGCTGAACTCTTGTGCTCGTAAACATAGTCCGACTGTGTTAAAAGTTTTGAACAAAGTCGCTGTAAGTCCTTCATTTCCACAATCTTGTGGACTGAGCACACGTTTGATAAAAGGAGTTAAATCTCTCGGCATCCATTTTCAAGCTCTCTGTGTGTTTGTTTCCTTGCGGACGAGAAAAGGGGGAGCGCACATTTCCAGGAGGGCGTGTCCTTTTCAAAAATGCATGAGGCGTTGCTTTGTTGCCGGCCGTTTTCTCCGGTGTGTTAAACACACTTTAGAAAGGAGTGTCCCCAGACTATCAGAAGGCGGAGATCTCTGATTGTCTGGTGGCGAGACTAATGTTTGGCTAGCTTGTTGAAAGTGCTGTAGACCTTTAAAACATCACAACCATAAGCATTTTATATGTGTCCCTCTGTACAGAACCCTGCTGGGAGGACATTTTCCTGTGAGCCAACCCTGAGGTTAGCGTCGTCCTGTTTCCCTGTCAATAGGCCGGTGGTAGTTTTCCATTGGATTATTGCAGAAAATAAACTCTGTGACAAAGAAATGTTTGTGATATTTACAGGTTTTGTTCAGAAAGATAATCTTCACACATGAACACCACCTTCATGATTTTTGAAGCATAAATGCAGTCGCTGAAGGTAAAAAGTGTTTTGCTACAAACTACACCACTGTCACAACTTCAGCGTCACCACCACAAGGCTGTAATGCCGTGTTCGGCGTGACAATGTTCTGTAGTCTCACTGAGCCACTTGTTAGCAACCATCTTTTTTAAGACTTATAAAAGCTTCTAGATTCACAGTGGGGAATTTACTGATGTATTTTATGTTGTAGAACAAAACGTGAAAGTCTCTTCAGCTCGTGTCAAAAACAAACCTTATTTCAGACATCTAACCTACAGCACACTGAATGCTAACTGATTTCCGGGTTGTAGGATTCATTCCTGTTTAGCCAGCAGTGTTTGGTCCCTGCCACAGACTGTGTATAAAGATGAACGACGTGACAGCTCCCCAAAAGTGAAGCCAAAACATCTGGATCACACCTGATGGCTGCAGTATAGGTCATAAACCCCGCCCCCTCTATGTTAGCAGATGGGTCATGGGCCAAACTGTTTTTTTAGGTCTTTTTTAATCACGCTGCTGTTTGTTCAAGTTTCTGTTTTCTGATAAGTTTGGTTTAATTAGTTATTTGATGTTATATAAATTTGATGTCATGACTGACAGCTGTGTGAGCCAATCAGTGTGCTCCTCCACCAATCGCACTGCTTGTGATTGGGTCAGACAGGTGTACAGGCAGGAACTCGACACAGCAGGGATCGTTACTGCACAGACTCTAGCTCTTAATGACGTCACCAGTCTAAGATGACAGAGGACATATCTGGATATTTTGGCTTAACTTTTGTACAGTGGGAGGATGTGGAGGCGCGTCGGCCATCTTGACATACAGTCTGTGGTCTGTGCAGTAACTCTGAGCGTGCTAACGCCGCACAGCTGCTGGTGGTCGATACTTTGTTGGCGTGGGTGTAGCTATTCCCTCTTTAAGCTAACTGGCTGCAGCACAGCGCTAACCTTTAGCTGGGTAGCTGTAACTGTGTTTACCTTCTTATAAAACAACACAACCTGTAAAACTAGCAGCAGTGCATTTTGGGTAAAGTGTGATTCTGTGCAGCTTCACCACAGCAACACGCTGACGATACACGTCACAATGACTTGACAGCGCTGAGTCACACTCTGCTGACCGCCATCTTCCATCGCTCTTCCACCAATCTCGTCAGTCAGTATTACTCTGATTAAACCCCGCCCTCCTCTCTGTCTTATCACCTGATTGGTCAAATGTCTTGTCAATCACTGATGCTAATCTCAGTCTCATCTGTCATTGGTCCAGAGGCCATCAAAATGATGTCACACAGGTCATTTCGTCGGCCAGCTCATCCTCGTCACGGCCTGTCCTGATTGGCTCCTCATCACTGTAGAGTGCGGCGGGGTCAGCGGCAACGCTGCTAAGGAAACTGTGGCTCCCGGTGCCGAGCAGGTCGCTGGCAGCAGACTCCATCTCGTCCACCGTCATGTGACAGGCATCTGCTATCTCCCGCTTTGCAAACGCCACGAACTTTGGATCCCGGGCGTACAGACCGAGACCCTCGGAGATCAGAACCTGCAGAGAGCAGAACGAAGAGTCACTGAGCGGCTGCGGGTTCTAAGTTACTGATCAATATCAGTGATCGATCAATGTCTCCTCACCGCCTCCACCAGACTGTCGGCTGAGCCTCGTTTCTCTGTGAGCTGAGCGCCGAGCTGCGAGGGGACTCTGAGGGTGGTGTACGCTCTGTACGGAGGAGGAGCTGCAACCACAGTCACATGACACGAGAACACACTCATGTTTAAAACTACAGACCACTGTTTATGTTGGATAGAAAATGATCCTGCAGATAGACATCAGTGATATTTGACATGTGTGTGGATTATTATTCTGACACGTCTGTGCCCTTACTTCTTGTTAAACAAACATTTGCTGATGAGTGAGTCTGATCATGACATCACCAGGAATCATCAGACCGAGTATTATTGTCTGTAAACAACCAGCTGTGTGGAGTTAGCTAACGTAACATGAACACACTGACAGTGAACATTCACGTGTCCCCTGAGCCTCAGGTCTCAGTGTCAAAGCCTCAGTTAAAGATTTCCTGTTCCTGTCCCGAAGTCACAGCACTGTTCTTTCCCCAAAAAGGGGGCGTGGCCTTGACCGTTGATGATGTAATGCAGGTCTGGTCCATGTCAAAGGTGATTTTGTGTGTGTTCTTACCTGATGTCCCTGCAGGGCCTCCGTACCAGGCCGGTCTGGGTGCTGCACCCGTCACACTGACACCTGAAAGGTTAAAGTTCATGTTTACAGATCACCGCTAGCATACAGCCTGCTGTTACTGAACCACTGTAATGTTTGCTAATGTGTCATCGCTGCTTCCTCTGAGACATAAAACATTTCAGTTGGAGTCTCCTCACCTCTTCCTGCTCCTCCCTTCTTCACCTCTCCTCCGCCTCCTCCTCCTCCTCCTCCTCCTCCTCCTCCTCCTCCTCCTCCTCCCCCCCAAGTTGGGCTGCCTTCCTCCTCCACCAGGATGAGCGGAGCGTAGAGGAGGCGACCACGCCGCGGACACGGGTTTGCCCAGGACGCCGAGGAGGCTGCTGAGGAGCGACCGGAGGAGTGACGAGACTCGTAACTGCTGAAGGTCTGCTGAGGAAGAGGAGCGGAGGGTTACACACTCTGTGTGTGTGTGTGTGTGTGTGTGTGTGTGTGCATATGTGTGTGTGTTACCTGTGTGCGTGTGCGGCGTGGAGGGGAGGTGGGGTGGTACGTCCCAGGGATGGGCAGGTCGTCACTGCTGCCCTGCCTCCTCAGACACTGGATGTTGAATGATGGCTTCCGACCTGACAGATGACATTAAAACAAACTGCTCAGTGATGATGTCACACTGTCAGTGATGATGTCACAGGTGTGTTTGGTTCAGAACAGTTCAAAATGAGGTGAGTCACTGCAGCTGCTCAAAGAGTTCAGGAACAAAGACCACGCCGCCATCACATCCTGTTTCTGCTGCAAGACTATTTAAGCACACCTGATACCATCCTCCACCTGTCTGCGACCCCTTCACCTTCGTTCCCCCATCCCTTCATCTCCTCATCCTTTCATCTCTAGACCCTCATCCCTCCTTCCCACATGCCTTGACCGTCTTCCCTTCATCCCTTCAACCCTGCATTTGATGTTATTGATAATTATTGATCATTGGTAAAGTCAGATGCTTTGGTCTGGGATTCACTGATGTGTCCTGGAAGGAGGGACACCTGTCCAGGAGTAAACAGGGACAGAGCGGGGTTCCTCAGGGTCGTAGTCTGGGACCTCTCCTTTATTCTATATCCATAAGTGATCTTGTATCAGTATCAGATCAAGCAAAAACAGTACAGTGATGTATGCAGATGAACACACTGATGGTGTCTGAACTGAAACGAGACGCAGCGTCACCGTCACCTCAGAACCATCTGAGTCTGTTACATAAAACAGAACCCAGAGATCCTGATGGTTCTCAGCTAGGACAAAGGGTCACCTGTGGGCGTGGCAGGAAGAAGGCGTCTCCTGGTGGTCCTCCTGCCCTCGTTGTATCCGTTACCATAGCTACTGTTGGTGTAGGGGGCGTGGCCATCGTAGTGGTCTCTGTACAGAGGAGGCTCTTCAGGGTAATGTCTGTAAGGACACACAGACACACACTGAATAACACACACACACATACACACAGGTCTGTCTGTCTGTCTGTCTGTCTGTCTGTCAGTAGACTACCTGTCCACCTGTCTCACCTGTCTCTGGAGGTGATGCTGTCGTTGTCCTCCTCTCTGCTGTAGTAACCCTGCTCTCCGTACGCCTCCATGTCTCCGTTCCTCCAGTACCTGTCCCTCGAGTCCCTCCTGCACAAGAACACACTGTGATTGGCTGAGACAATTCATCACCTGACACTGCAGCGTCTAGTGGGCGTTACAGGAAGTGAACGGATCACACTACAGTACTACATGTTCTGCAGTACCTTGCGTATTTGTGGTACGACGGTCTCTTGTGGTCCAGCAGGCCGTTCCTCACTGATGGGCGGCGCTGATGGTGATGATTGATGGATGACCTCATGTTGTCTCCACGGCGAATATGTTCATCACGTTCGCTGCCATTTGGCATCTTGGTGAGAGAGCCGACCCGGTGAACCAGACCTCCATTAGACACGCCGCCATCGCCCACCACACCGCCAGGACCTGCAGCCAGACGGGTTTTTTCTTTTACTGACACAATGATCTTCAAGATTTTTGTCCCAAATCAAAATAAATGTTAAATAATAAATACATAATATTTTGTTTCATAAAACGTAATATCTAATGCTGCGTGTTGTTGTTTTGTTGTCTAACGTCTGTTAACTAACCAAATGTAACCACAGTAACATGATAAGGTCACATGATGTAATGTTGTTGTTTACCAGTGGGCGTGGTCAGTATGGAGCCTCGGCGATCTTTCTCTGGTCCGAAGCCATTTTCACCCTGCAGACAGACAGACAGACGGACAGATAGATAGATCAGCTGTTTACGGATCAGCTGTTTATACACATGAGTCACATGACTCTCATTACTTGTTTAAAAACAGACCTCATACGCAGCGTCCTCCTCCATCTCTTCATCCTCCATCATGGCCTCATCCTCTTCCTCCAGGTCCTCGTTCAGAGCCAGACGCATCTCTGGACCGAGATCCTGCAGAGTCTTCAGACCAGCTTTACACAGCTGCAAACACACACACGCACACACACACACACACACACACACACACACACACACACACACATACACAGTTTAGCAAAGTTGTTATAACCATGAAGTCCAGACGACAGACGGGATGATGAACAACTCTTTTGCAGATCGTGAGAAAATAATATTGACAATCAGTTGATGGTGATGAATTTTCCATTATCGTGATAATTGTGTGTGTCGTGTCCAACAGACCCAAAGAGACTGCTGGGAAACCAACAATAAAAGAGACTCTGCAACACACCAACCTTAAAAAACAGATCTTAATCAATCAGTATTTCATATCAAGATATATTATGTCATTTCAGAATAGTAGAAAATATATATAAGCTTGTTCATACAGTATACACAGAGACAGACAGACAGACCTGGACAGCAGACGGGTTGGTAGCGTCTGGCTCTCCCGTCAGATTTCCTTTCTCTTTCCTCTTCCTGAACTTCCTGAAGTAATCCTGAATCAGGAAGGTCGCATAAAACTTCCCGACTGTCACTTCCTCCTCTGCAGGACGACACAGAGCAGTCAGCAGCAGTATTTACTGTGGTATTAGAGAGTTTGTGGTGTTTACAGTTGTGTGATGATGTTTGTGGTATTTGTATCGTCTCTGTTAGTATCAGCAGTGTTTGTAGTGACTGTAGTTATATTTGTAGTGTCTGCTGTAGTACTCGTATTGATTGTTGTAGTGTTTGTAGTATTTGTTGTATCAGTAGTATTAGTACCTTCATGTGGTGGTATCACTTCATCCAGGAGTTTTGGTTTCATCCTCTTCCAGATCTTCTTGATGATCCCCCTCAGCTCCTCGTTCTCCTGGTCGGGGTTACCTAGCAACAACACAGCGTGGGCGAGGCCAAATACAAATTACGATAATGCTGCGTTTATGTCATATCACAATTATCATGATTATGAGTTTCCGATGTGCGCGCTGTGTTCACATCAACAGCTGAGTTATGATTCTCGAGAGAAGCTCTGACTGGCTGAATAAAACCAAACAAACATGGACGCCTCCCCTCAGACATGTATTAACCTTAAACATGGCGTGATATCGTCACAGTGCAGTATTTTATAATCATACAACATTCCTGATGACGTGAACAGACGGACAGCTCTGTGGACCAATCAGATACCTTCAGTCTTGATCTTGAGGGCGGTGCGAACCAGAGCGAAGAGCGTGGCGTTAAAGGTCACCATCCCGTCACTGTTCAGAGGCATGTTCATCGCTACGAGGCGCTGAGAGGGAGGAAGAGGAGCAGATGTAGACTGGAGCATGCACTCATATTATGGGATGTCAGTGCATCTTTACACCTCTGAATGAACTCAGATATCGTACCTAAGTACAAATTTAAGGTATTTGTACTTTGATACTTGGATTGAATAACAGACGCATTAACAAACAGCAGCAGAGGACTCACATCAGAGCCCTGAGGGACTCCACAGGGGTCAGTATTCATTAAGTTTAAATAAGATTGTTCCTACATTACATTTACGAGTCTGTGTGATAACTCCAGTATACAGTGCTGTATAATTTACCTTACAGGCCACTCTGTGAGGACACAGTTTCCCAAAACCCAGAGGAGGCTGAATCCTCCTGAGCAGAGCCACGACGTCCAGGTGCTTTATACGACCCCTGAGAGAAGACAGTACGATACAGTACAATACTTTCATATACAATAAAATATAATACATCCACTGAGACAGGACAGCAGAGAACATTACAATACAAAACTGGTGGATTCAAGTCCTTACGTACAAGACGCAATAGCACTCTACAAAAATACTCTATTACAAGTAAAGTCCAAATTTTATATGTAGAAGAATTAGTAACAACTTAAAGTATTCAGTTTAAAAGTCCTCTTAATGCAGAGTAGCCTCTATTAGTCTCAGTAGTTACCCCTGCTTCCAGTCTTTGTGCTAAGCTAGGCTAACGGTGTGAGGAGACAGAACAAACATACTTGGCCTCTGGATCGTATTCAGACCAGATCCTCTTAAATTCGTCCAGATGATGCGGTCCCAGAATCGACCAATCACGTGTCAGATAGTCAAAGTTGTCCATGATGACAGCGACAAACAGGTTAATGATCTGAAGGAGACACAAACAGTCAGTGTGTGTGCGTGCATGCGTGCGTGCGTGCGTGCGTGCGTGTGTGTGTTCTGACCAGGAAAGCACACAGCATGAAGAAGCTGATAAAATAAACGATGGCGAAGTTGCTGCCGCAGCTGAACTCTTCTCCTGGTTCGTAGTCTGACTCGGGGTCACAGCGTTTACCTGGGAGACTGGCCAACATGATCTCCTGCCACGCCTCACCTGTGGCACACCTGCAACACACACACACACACACACACACACTGTATTTTTTTTTTAAGATTATATTTTGGGCTTTTTGCCTTTAATGACAGGACAGAGAGTGAAATGGGGAGACAGAGAGAGAGAGTGGGGACTGACATGCAGCAAAGAGCCACGAGCCGGATTCGAGCCTGTGGCCACTGCAGCAAGGCAATGCCTCTGTATATGGGGCGCCAGCACTATCCACTACGCTACTACAGAATACTTGCGACAGATGAAGAACAGAAACATGAGCAGCAGAGATGGAGTTATCCTGACTACAGTTCCCATAATGCACCTGGACCATCACCATACATTTATTCACCAGAGAAACAAAAATGTAATTAAGAGTCAGCAGAGTCTGTCCGAGAGGACGGGAGAGATTAGAGCAACTCATTTATGAGTCTCATACGAGGAGGAGGAGGAGGAAGAGGAGGAGGAAGAGGAGAATCTGACCTGAAGAGAAGGAGAACAGCCTGAGGAAACGTCTGGAAGTTGTTGTTTCTGTTGATCTGAGTGTGATCCTGCATCGCTACCTTCCCAAAGGTCTGACAGACACACAGACAGACAGACAGACAGACAGACAGGTTAGAGAACTGTCTCCTTCATCAGTTGAGCCCTGTTCCTATGATGGATGATGGAGGATGTGACACAATGCTCTGTAGTATCTAATGAACATCATAGATAACATGGACGACACATTCTGACATGAAACTGATCTAAAGTTTGTTTTACAGATTTTAAGTTATGTTTATGTTTTCTTTTCGCAGACGACTGAACGAGGATGAAATCTGCACTGAACTCTATGAGCTCTAAACTGTGTCATAGTCTGGACCCGTCTCAGGGAGGAGTCTGGATCGTGGTTGTGCGTCAGGTCAGAGCGCCACCTGCGGGATCACCTCTGCATGAGCTCACCTGCATCCCGATGACGGCGTAGATGAAGAAGATCATGGCGATGAGCAGAGCGACATACGGCAGAGCCTGCAGACGGACAGAGAGGAGGTCAGACTGCTGCCCTGCAACGAGGCAGCTCCCTGTTAGCCCCGCCTCCTACACATAGCCCCGCCCCTCACCTGCAGCGACTTGATGAATGTCCACAGCAGCGTCCGAATCCCCTCTCCTTTACTCAGCAGCTTGACCAATCGCATCACTCGAAAGAGACGGAAGAAGGTGATTGACACCCGAGAGCTGTCCTCCCCACTCTGAGAGACAGACAGAGAGGGACAGAGAGACAGACAGAGAGGGACAGAGAGTCATTTGAATGAAAATCATTTTATTTACCCAGTTATAAACCTGAACACTGAAGTCAGATGATGCGTCTTCATGGTGTCTGTGAGGTTGTTCCTGTCAGTCACAGCAGAGGGCAGCGTGCTCCACTAAAGAGATCACACGGTCTGTGTCATCACCTGAGACAAACCACAGCACCTCCACCTGTCTGAGTACTCACGCTGAACTCAGTGACCACGATGTCAACGACGCTGCCGACCACGATCAGAGCGTCAAACGAGTTCCAGGCGTCCACAAAGTAATGCTGCGGGAAAAGAGACGTTTATAAAGTGATGTCATAACCTCCGGGTCATCAGACTTTAACGTCAGATTGAAATAGGTCAATCTTTACAACACAAATCTATAGTTTGATCAGTGATGTCATCAAACAGCTGCTCACTGGGACTATTTTCACTGGCGGATTAATCCACATATGGTGCTGTGGTGAGTATTGGTGTCAACAGTGTGAAATGAACCACAGTGTGTGTGTTCATGGTGAAGTGTGTGTCACTGATGTGTGTTTAACAACCACAGAGGAAGAACAGGATTCATCACTGTATGTGTTATTTTGCAGGTGCGTTTGTTTTTCTCACCCTGAGTCTGAGAGCGAGCAGCTTCAGCAGCATCTCCACCGTGAAGAGTCCGGTGAACACCATGTTGAGGATGTCCATGATGTAGCTGAAGGTTTTAGACTGTTCGTAGTGCTGCAACACACAAAAAAGGATTTTAGGACATGAGACACACCAGGCTGAGTGTGTCGAACATCCAGCGATCAGTCTGTGTTCATCAGTGTGTGTGTGTGTGTGTGTGTGTGTGTGTTACATACCTGGACAGCCAGTGTAACGGTGTTGAGCAGGATGAGGACGAACATGACGTACTCAAATCCTGTGGAGTTGATGATGGACCAGAACTTATACTGAACCGGGTTCTTTGGGATGTAAAGTTTCAGTGGCTGAGCCTTCAGAGCGTACTCCACACACTGACGCTGCACACAGGAAAGAGTTAATGTGTACCGCTGTACTAACAGAGCGTACTCCACACAAAAGGGGGAGACATGTCAAATAATTTTTAAAGTGCAGGGGAGGAGCTTATGTTTTTTTTTTTTATTTTGTCTTAGGGGCGGGGCATACACATTTAAATGCTGTAGTTTGTACTTATTTCAATGCAGATATTTAAAGCAGCTGTGCGGAACTTTACGTTTTCGTTAATTATAGTGCCCCCTTTGGTCAAAGCGGGATGACACCCACAGCCTGGTGTCGTAAAATTCCGACTGCAGCCGGCATTCGGCTTCATTCTTAAAATCTTGACTGCATCTGGCATTTACCTCATGCATTTGTTTTGGAGAGCGAGAGGAATATCATAAATGTTCTGGTGTAGCTCTGAATTTCTTATAAACTGAGGACAACTGCCTGCTATGTATTTGTGTTCATGGTCACAGTCACAGATAATTTTGTGGCGTTTGTTGTAACGTTACTAAACAAAAGCGCTTCACATCAGCTAACGTTACATTTAGCTTGCTTATAACTTCCATGTCATCATATATTGAAGTGAAACAACGTCTAACAAGTTGCAGTATATTCTCTGAATAAAAACAAAAATGACATACCTGTCAATAAGGAGAGGGGCCAACTCGGGATCAGTTTAAAAACCTTTCAAATCTCTCAGCTCTCTCCACTTGGTGAATGTCCGACCGAGGTTTACACGTGTTTGGGCTCGAGTCCTGTCACTGTCCCGTTTAGCCTTCTTCTGTTCTTCTGTTCTTTTTCTTTGAGATGGTGCTCCTTCTTTATCCACCATGACATCAAAAGTACAACCAAGTCCTTATAGATACATCTGGTAAAACTGTTATGTGTTCAGCAATGCCACACACTCGAAGAACACTCTCTGTAAACACGGCTCTTCTTCTTCTTCTCTCAATTTATTGGCGGATCGCAAACAACTTCCAGGTGCATACCACCACCTACTGTACAAGAGACTACTCCCTACTACATGTCATTTAGCCTGTTTCTTAAATCCTACTTGTAAACACGGCTCCTTCTTCTTCTGTGGTTTAATGGCTGCGAGCCACTGCGGGCATGCAGACTTACTTCCGCCTCCGGGTGCCGTATTCTGGTTTGCTGACTTCCGCTGTGTCCGACCCGACCGAGGCTACGCTAAATAGTCATATAGAGAAAGGCTGTTTGTCGTTGTAGGGTGGATCTTCAAGGGGGGGGGGTGATACGAACTGGGGACAGTGTTATTAATGGTAAAAAGTTCCGCATAGCTGCTTTAAGCAAAAAATCTTTCTTTCAACATTTTGGCATGACAAGACAGGTTCTCTCTAAAATCTTAATTAAAAAATCGATCTTTAAAAACACTTTTTAAATCTTTCTTTAAAAAAAAGTTTTTCAAAATCTTTCTTTAAAGGGATAGTGCACCCAAAAATGAAAATTCAGCCATTATCTACGCACACGTGAGCGCAGTGTCCAGAGAGGCAGTCAGAGCTACAGGCTACAATGAGGCTAAAAACAGAGTTCAGATGAGGTTTTTCCAAACAGCTTTTTATGTCGGGGCTTCAGGACACTTGGATCACTACGGACGAGCAGTATGGAGATATTTTGTGGTTTCAATGATGTGTTTTTGGACGTTTGAATCTGGGGCGCCGTCAGCCTCCATTAGGTGGAGTTGTGTTGCTACCTCCTCTCCCCTTGGATCTCTGCAAGTGATGTGAGGACTCTAAAACTTCACCTGAGCCTCCCTCGGCATATGGGTGAGTAGATAATGGCTGAATTTACATTTTTGGGTGCACTATCCCTTTAAACATTTTGACATGCCAAGGCAGTTTTTAATCAGAAGCCTCGGCTTTCTGCTGCTAAAAGAATGAAGGTTCTGGCTGTTATGGTTCTTATTTTAAATAGATGTATTCAGGATTGTGCAAACAACCATCTCCTGCAGTCGTTATGAGGAAATGACGGCATCATTATACCGAAATACCACGTTTGCACCGCACATAAGGTAACGTAACATTTGTTATGATTTGTAAGTATATTGATGGACGTTTGTTCTGGACAGACATCAAAGATGATGAGATGTCACAGTGAATTATATCAACATGTGTTACATGACTGTGTTCATGTTTCACTGAGTGATGAAGAGGAGGATGAAGATCATTTGACTGAGTGATGAAGAGGAGGATGAAGATGTGTGTGTGTGTGTGTGTGTGTGTGTGTGCTCTTACCTGGTTCTTGTCCAGCTCACAGTTCTTGTACTCCTGCTCTCCCTGCTCTCTGAACGTGATGATGACAAAACCCACAAAGATGTTCATCATGAAGAAGGCGATGATGATGATGTAGACGATGAAGAAGATGGAGATCTCCACCCGGTAGTTGTAGATGGGACCAGAGTTCTCCCCGTTAGCATCGATGGCTTTATACAGCAGCCTGGAGAGGAATAATATCTCCCATCAGCCACTGCTGCACCACATGTGACATGTGACATGACAGACTCAGGGACACGTTAATACATTTATAACATTTATAAGATCTGATGTTTGGTTATTAAATGTTTATACAGGTCCAGATGAAACCATCAGTCCTTTAATCAATGAGTGCATTGATCAGTGTTAATCATTGTGAGGTACTGGTAAGAGTGTTGTATTGTAGTGTTGTATTTTTAACAACTGTAATTTATTAATAATAAAATGAATCAAACTGACAGACTGTTACTGAGGGAACATTTATTAATGATACTGTGTCTTATCAGTGCTACAGGATCTGAGCACTTCACCAGAGCATCAGACTGTTTCTGTTCGGTTGGTTAAAGTTAATAAAGTCTGAATTGCAGACTCACGCGGGCCAGCCCTCGAAAGTGGAGACGGTGAAGAGCGCCATCATCCCCATCAACACGTTATCAAAGTTAAAGTCACTGTTCTGCCAGATCCTCTCTCTGACCATCGGCAGGTTCACGTCTCCGTCTTTATACACCACGAAGGTCCCTCTGTGCGCACACACACACACACACACACACACACTCAGTGATGTCATATCTCAGTGTTTAAACTAAAGCCTGTCTCCGAGCTGAATAAAAACATACTTGCACTGTTCAGGAGTGTGTTTGGCTTCGTCTGTGCAGCGATAAAATTTGCCCTGAAACACAAACAGACGTGACTCATGACATCAGTCAGACTGTAAACAAATATAAACAAATATCAATAAAGCTGGTCACACACAGGAAGTCAGCAGTCAGAGGTTAGAAACACTTACAGTGATTTTTGTGTCTCAAGAAGTGACGTCATAAAATGAAACTTATATCAGTCTGAAGACTAAAACTGATTTTAATATTTAGCTTTTAATATCAAATCACATCAGAAAACACTGTCACACATTTAATACAACATTAATATGGAACAAGTGACGTGGAATTTTTTGTTATGTTGGTTTTGAAAATTCTTCTCGAAGAAGACAAGTGACAATAATATCTGTACATCTCCACTCTGATGGGGGCTGATATATAAACTAAAAGCCCCACCCCCTAGTTGTATGACTCCACCCACCAAAGTCATCAATTCAGTATCTGACCAAATGTCTCCCCTTCTGTTCCCAAGATATGACGTTAAAACATGATGATGTCACAGTCAAGCTGACCTTTGACATTTTGACCTTCATTATTTTATCCTGTTAGACATTTGTGTCAAGTTTGGTCAGAATTAGTGAATGAATTCTTCAGTTACGGCAAAAACATGTTTTCTGAGGTCACAGTGACCTTTGACCTTCAACCATAAAATTCTAATCAGATTATTCTTCAGTCCAGGTGGACGTTTGTGCCAAATTCAAAGAGTTTCACTTAAAACGTTCTCGAGATATCATCTTCACAAGGATGAGACGGATGTGCGTACGCACCAACGGATGTACGAATGTGAGGATGTACGTAGGAACATACGTATGGACGTATGGATGGACCCACCACCAAAAACATAATCCCGCCATGGCGATCCCAGCGCAGAGGCATACAAAACAAAGATCTCATGATATTATAGAACACATGTTGATGTGGACAAACAGCTCTACTTGTTTTAACAGAATGTGTGTGACAGATATCAGCTCCTGTGGAAACGTCTGAAAATAAGCCTGTCTCAGAGGAGGACGTCCTCGTCCTCAGAGATTTGGACAGACGGACTCAGTTTCTATAAAACAGGTCAGAAATGGTAGAACCTGATTTTTGAGTGTAGAAACAAACTGAACAAACATTTGACGTCTTCCAGCAAGAGAAAGCTACGGATAATAAAAGTGATGAATCCTGTTCTGTTGAAGCTGATCACTGTCACATGTTTAGGATTTACAAATGGTGCAGTTATATATAAGTTACTTGTAGATAACAGGTCTGATTGGCCAGATGTTTGACATTAACATGAATGACAGACTAACAGTGAGTATACAGTACTTCCTGTTCACAGTCTGTAGTTAGACGTCCCAGTGTCTCCAGCTCTGTGTCGTCACACTCAGTGTTCACAGTCCGTCCATAAAGACGTGAGCTCACAGTTCGTTAACAACAAACACAAGGAATATATAAACTGTCTCACCTTGAAGAGTTGGACTCCGATGCAGGCAAACATGAACTGAAGCAGCGTCGTGACAATCATGATGTTCCCGATCGTCCTGATCGCCACAAACACACACTGCACCACATGCTGCAACACACAAAACACACAACAACACACATTAAATAGGTGTCAGCACATTATGAACTCTGATCAGGATCAGGAGGCTCCACATCGGCCCCCGCTAACAGCTGGTCCACACTTAGTATTGGTCCACACAAACTATTGGTCCACACTAACTATTGGTCCACACTAACTATTGGTCCACACTTAGTATTGGTCCACACTAACTATTGGTCCCCACAAACTACTGGTCCACACTAACTATTGGTCCCCACAAACTATTGGTCTCCACAAACTATTGGTCCACACTAACTATTGGTCCACACTAACTATTGGTCCCCACAAACTACTGGTCCACACTAACTATTGGTCCCCACAAACTATTGGTCCCCACAAACTATTGGTCCACACTAACTATTGGTCCACACTAACTATTGGTCCCCACAAACTATTGGTCCACACTAACTATTGGTCCCCACAAACTATTGGTCCACACTAACTATTGGTCCCCACAAACTACTGGTCCACACTAACTATTGGTCCCCACTAACTATTGGTCTCCACACACTATTGGTCCACACTAACTATTGGTCCCCACTTAGTATTGGTCCACACTAACTATTGGTCCCCACAAACTACTGGTCCACACTAACTATTGGTCCCCACAAACTATTGGTCCCCACAAACTATTGGTCCACACTAACTATTGGTCCCCACAAACTACTGGTCCACACTAACTATTGGTCCCCACAAACTACTGGTCCACACTAACTATTGGTCCACACTAACTATTGGTCCCCACAAACTATTGGTCCACACTTAGTATTGGTCCACACTAACTATTGGTCCCCACAAACTATTGGTCCACACTAACTATTGGTCCCCACAAACTACTGGTCCACACTAACTATTGGTCCCCACAAACTATTGGTCCACACTAACTATTGGTCCACACTAACTATTGGTCCCCACAAACTATTGGTCCACACTTAGTATTGGTCCACACTAACTATTGGTCCCCACAAACTACTGGTCCACATTAACTATTGGTCCCCACAAACTACTGGTCCACACTAACTACTGGTCCACACTAACTACTAGTCCACACTAACTATTGGTCCCCACAAACTACTGGTCCACACTAACTATTGGTCTCCACAAACTATTGGTCCACACTTACTATTGGTCCACACAAACTATTGGTCCACACTAACTATTGGTCCACACAAACTATTGGTCCACACTAACTGCCGACTGCCTTGTTTGAAGTTTGATTTAATCTAATTACTGTACATTAATTTTAAACTCCTCAAACATCCAGATTCACAGGTCACATTAACAGATCTCTGCAGGGTCTGTCCTCCTGGTATCCTCTGATCACATTTTTAACACACACACACACACACACACACACACAGTCAGTGTGCGGTTACCTTCAGTCCTTTGGCTCTGTTGATGGCTCTCAGAGGTCGGAGCACTCGCAGGACTCGGAGGATCTTCACTACAGAGATGGCACTGGAGCTGCAGACACACACACACACACACACAGACACACACACACAGACACACACACACAGACACACACACTGAGTCAGTCGACTGTTTACATCACATGTAAGGATTCAGTACATTCAGAGATGTAGCTGCTGTTTTCTACCAGCAGAGCGCGCCACACACACACACATTAATACTGAACTGTGAAGGATCAGAGCTTCATGTTTGACTCCAAAATGTTTCTCACATCTCTGCTGATCAGTTCCTGAGTCTGTGTTTGCACTGATGTTTTTCTGTCTACATGTCTAAATGTACTGAGTTGCTGCCATGTGATTGGCTGATTAGCTCTTTGCATTAACAAGCAGTTGAACAGGTGTACCTAATAAAGTGGCTGGTGAGTGTGTGTGTGTGTGTACACATATATATATATATATATATATATGTATATATGTACATACACATATCCATATGTATAATCTCAACATAAACCATCCTGATGTTTTTATCTGTTAAAAAGAAAATATGTAACGATACAGCAGGTGAAGACTTCCTGCCTCCAGCTGTTGAAGAATCCTTCCAGCTGTTTGTGTGTGTGTAACATGGCTGCTGCTGATGATGATGTGATACTGACTGCAGGAAGAAGGAGACCAGAGACACGCTGACGACCAGCAGATCCAGCAGGTTGAACCAGTTCCTACAGAAGGAGCCCTGATGGAGGAACGCTCCGTGGACCGTCATCTGTCACACAGACAAAGATGATGATGTTTCAAAAACAAGAGAAGAAGAGAAAGAGTTGGTCTACCTCACACAGGCTCCGCCCCCTACTGGACTCCCTGGGTAATTCTCTCCTCTGATCACAAGTGAGCATTTGCCGCTGAAATCTGCATAAATGTAGCCAGCCAATCAGGATGTGTCTTCCTGAATACGTGTGCACCCACAGTATCTATAGGACAGGAATGACAGCATCCTGACTGCCCACTGATGAGCTGAGATGAACTCGACTCCCCCTGATGCAACTAATGCTGGTCTGCGGGGAAAATGCTCCAGGACGACCTGGGAAATAAGGTGTGCAGAGTGTCTATTCCTTGTCTTTTGACCCCTGCAGGGTGAGGCCATGGCTCCGCCCAGTTTGGCTGCTCCCCACCGTGGTTGGCTGGTGCTCCCTACGACTCAGCTGCAGAGGTCATAAAGAAGCAGGCGGGCTGCGGCAACTAACCGTTACCCGGCAGGATCAGTGTGGCTGGGTCAATGTTATATCGCAACAAGGCGTTCACTCAACAGGCTCCACCCACTTTATGCATAGAGTGGTAGAGGGCGGAGCCTGTGTGAGATATAATGAAGGTTACAACATTGTAACCCTAGTTCTATAAGCACAGGCAGAGCCCTCGACCCAGTAATCTTGTCACTGGGTGCAGGATGGCAGACACCATCATACAGCTTTGAAATATACTCTGGGCTCTGCACATATTTGGGTCAGCATGTCCTGTTCAAATCATGGTGGGGGGTGCCTGCTCGTGGTGGGAGGAGAGTGTTACTCATAGAATCCAGTGAAGACATAGAAGCCAAGATGGCGCCTATTCATTCCAATGGAGCTGTTCGCCTGGAGCATACGCCAGTAAAGTTTTCTAGTTTCCGGGTTTATGTCCATGATATGGTGTTTCTCCTGCTGGCCCCGCCCACGAGTTCCCGCTCAGCTCGTAGACTTTACATTGTGATGACATCACAGATTTTCAAATCATTTTTTATCGGATTGAGGAAAGTTTACAAATATAAAACCTCTATGGATTCAAAATTCAGAATAAAAAAGAGTCATAATTGTCCATGTTCACAGTTGGAGGTGTCGACAGTTTCACAGACGTCTCTTTTATAATGCTGGTCTGCGGGGAAAATGATTTTTGGGCTGCAATACTGCGAGTGGCCACTGGGAAAAAGTAGTAGAGTAGAGGGGCCTGAGCAGAGGGCTCTGCCTGCGCTAATAGAACTGGGGTTATAATATCGTAACCTTCGTTTCTTCCTCATTTACGGTGATGTTTTTTTTTTTTACCTTTAACAGAATCTCCACGGTGAAGATGGAGGTGAAGGCGTAGTCTGCATAACCCAGAATCTGCACACACAAACACAGAGACAGAAAACAGAGTCAGGTTCTGACTTTAACTTCATTTTCACACAAAGTCATCGAGTCATTTCAACTCAACAGGCTGACTAGTCATCAGTGTTAAAAAAATCACATTCTGATTTAAGCCAAAGTTGGATTCAGACTCCAAGTCACGTGACTCGAGTTCACACTTCCGCCCGCTGTCACAGGAACCAAACAGATCAGCTGAGACATTAATATGAGGTTTAAGTTAAAAGGTTAGTCTGATTCAGGCTCTCACATGTTTTTTCCACGTATTTTGAAAGGCTGTGATCATGTGACCAATGCACTGATGGCAGTAAACAAGGAAGCATCCCAAGCTTCGCCTAGGCGTTTCCCCGTGTTCAGATCTGGGTGAACTTTGAGTCATTTGAAGGAACATCGTCACCGTGTTCATAACGTTACGTTAATTATGTAACTGTATTAAGGACGTGACATCATTCGTGGGGCACAAATTCATAGAATATCTTATGAACCGTTCTATGAGAATAAACTGATTACATGACTCAGACTGTGTTTTAGTGATGTCATCATGATGTCATCATGTTCACTGATCTCAGCTGTTAGTTTTACTGGTAGAAACGATGAAAGACACCAACGATGAACTTGACATCAATACGCAGGTTTTTATCCAGAACAGATGCGGCTAATAAAAGGTTAACATCCTGCATGTGTGTGTGTGTGTGTGTGTGTGTGTGTACATACAGTATGTGTGTGCTGATTGTATGTTAGCAGTCATTTCTTTTCTCAGCTGCTGCTAATTGCTACGTCTTGCATGAAGCCAGCTGCTGCACAGCAAGTGTGTGTGTGTGTGTGTGTGTGTGTGTGTGTGTGTGTGTACAGTTTTCTCAGGATCAGACAGTAAACTGGTGATTTTCTCTCCATGTGTTTCCCTCTTTAACCCGGTTAGTCACTGACCCACTTCTGCTTTGTAATCTGCTGAAGCCCCGCCCCCAGCTCAAACCACAGAGGTGTGTGGACGACATCATCAACGACATAATCGCGATGAGACCTCGCTGATTGGCTCTGAGTTTGAAACAGGAGTCTATCACAAGCATCGCTCCTTAGCTTAGCCACAATGCTACATTTCATTCTAATGGTTCTGTGATGTCACTTTTGAGTGATGTCACTTTTGTGTGATGTCACCGTCATCAGTTCGATCAGATCCCACCTCCCACAGCTGATCCTGCTAACAGCTAACAGCAGCTAAGCTAACGCTCACACACACAATGTTTGTGGACTCACGTTGTTCCTGAAGGAGTGCGCTCTGATTGGATCCTCGGCAGCCAATGAGCAGCTGCTGAGGATGATGAAGACGAGGATGAGGTTGGTGAAGATGTGGTGGTGGATCAGAGTGTGACAGGCCACACGGATGCTGCAGACAGACAGACAGACGGACAGAGAGAAGAGGTGTTGAGGTGTTACTGCAGACCTGTTTGTGCTGACAGACAGACTTCATCTTATTTTTGTTGGCGTCCATTATCTGATGTCATAACTTAAATTCAACCAAACATCATTCTCTAAGTACGGTGGCAGCTGCTGGGACGTCATTATACTGACTGGATTATTACATTTCTCCCAGTTGCAGTAATCCCAGTTCCTGAGTGTCCCTCTGCTGATTACTGCTGGAATGTAACTAAGTACATTTTCACTAAATTTAAGTAAAAATCTGAGGTGCTTTTACTTTACTGGAGTATTTTAATCTCACACCACTTTTTACTTCTCCACCACACTGCAGAGGGAAATACTGTACTTTTTATTCCACTAATATTATCTGACATCTTTAGTTACTTTACAGATGAGGATTACTGCTGGGCGTCTTCAGACTCACGGGTTTGTTTTGCTGAGGCAGAAAAACGCACTGCCTTCTGGGATTGGAAGAACCTTCTCTTTAGGAGGAGCCAGGTCGGCCATCTTCAACTGGACTCCTCCATCTGACAGGAGGAGAGGAGGAGACAGGAGGAGAGGAGGAGACAGGAGGAGAAAGAACTCATTACTTATAAGTTTAATTTGAACTAAATCATTTAGGCATCAGTGTGTTGTCTCTGTCTCAGATCGTTCAGCTCATCTTCACACAGTTTAATAACTCTTTCACTAACTGACCGTCTTCTCCTTCAGGAAGCTCCTCCTCCTCCTCGTACTCGGTGTCTTCATCGATGTCCACCTGCAGAGACAAACAGCCGTCAGACGGACAGACTACATTTACGATTACAGATTAAAGTCTGAGCTCCATCTTCACCTTCGCTTCCTCTTCTTCTCCTTCTTCTACTCCAGCCTCCCCCTCCTCCGCTCCCTCCGTCTTCTTCCTGTAGGAACAGGAAATAAGAGACCACTGTGTTCTCCGTCTTTTATCGCCTCCATTTACTCCTCTTTCTCCTCCCTCCCATCCCTGTTTTATGTCTCCTCTTACTCTCCCTCCCTTCATTCCTCATCACTCACTCTTTCTTCTTGTCGTCTCCGTCTCCTCCTGCCAGGTTGTCCACGGCGATGGCCAAGAAGACGTTCAACAGGATGTCTGATACACGTTAAGAACACCCAACATCCAACTGTCTGACCTCAGCTTATTTTGGTGATCAATAAGTCACATGACCAACTGAAGGGCTGGACATGAGGAACAACACTGGTGAAGGTCAGATCATCTGAAAATATCTGCTGAAGATGAGTCTGTAATTTATTAAACGCCGTCACAGGCTGAAACTTTGACATGATTACAGATAGGAAATGTTCCCATGTGGATGAGAACACCCGCTTTTGTTCTGGATGTCAGTGAAGGCCTCACTGAGAGAGTTACATCATAATGCACCTGTTGTCAGGCTGCAGGTGAAGGATACAGTTACCACAGATGAAGAGGATGACAAAGTAAACGCAGACGATCATCCCTGGAAACACCGGCCCTCCGTACGCCATGATGCCGTCGTACATGACCACGTTCCAGTCCTCACCGGTCAGAATCTGCACACAGTCGACATCAGGATGACACGAGGAAGACTGTGTGGAGTGAAACTAAAGACCTGAGACTGGCTGTGCAAAACATCTTAAGTTGTCTCCTTGAATATGACACTCAAGGCTTAATTCCTCCTTAGCTGAGGGACTTACACAGCTGCACAGAATCCCTAAAAAGTTAAGGAAAAACGCTGACTCATTTACTGCGTTAAAAGAAATTTGTCATGTCACTGGAGAGGCTGGTCCTGAAGAACCTCCGCTCAGTAATCATCACTGGAGCCCTGCAGTTTGCCTTCAGCCCCACACGCCATCATCTTCCTGCTGCACAGAGCTTATACTCACCTTGAGGAGGCAGGCAGCACATTTGGCTTTATACACAGAATTGATTGAAAGTGATTGATCTTAAGGAAACCTTAATGAGAAGACTTAAGGGTGTTTGGTACAACTGATTTTAATCTGAGGAAACTTTAACGAGGACTTTAGGAAAATCTTAACTTAACTTAGCTGTGTTACCTGGAAGCAGGTGAGCAGCGCCTGCGGGAAGGCGTCGAAGGTGCTACGTTTGGTCTGCGTCTCGTCAAAGTTGAACTTCCCTCCGAACAGCTGCATGCCGAGCAGAGCGAAGATGATGAGGAAGAGGAAGAGCAGCAGCAGCAGGGAGGCGATGGACTTCATGGAGTTCAGCAGAGACGCCACCAGGTTGGACAGAGCCGTCCAATGGCTGAGCGGACACAGAGTGATGTCAGAGGCGGGCTCAGCGAGGAGCAGTACGAGCTGCATCAGGTGTGTTTTCTCACCGTGTGACCTTGAAGATCCTCAGCAGGCGGACGCAGCGCAGCACCGAGATCCCCAGAGGAGGCATGATCTCCAGCTCCACCAGGATGGTCTCCATGATGCCGCCGCACACCACGAAACAGTCGAAGCGGTTAAAGAACGCCACGAAGTAATGAGCCAAACCCAAACTGTACATCTTCAGCAGCATCTCCACCGTGAACAGAGACAGCAGCACCTTGTTGGCGATGTCTGTGGTAATGAATGAGAACAATGAGCTCCAACATTAAACAACATTAAACTGATGAACACATGAATGCATCAATAATCACAACACAGTCATCTCATACTCTGCTGAATGAGTCATTTTACTTTTGGTATTTTAAGTTTATTTTAATACCGATGCTTTTGTATTTTTACCAACATTTAATGACTTTTACTTTTAACTTCTTAAATTTTTGTCGAGTAAAAGTTTAAATTTTTTGGCATCTAAAATTTTGACTTTTTGTCAACGAGAATGTTTTGAATTTTTGTTGACTAAAATATTTTGAATTTTTACCGATCAAAACATTTTGAATTTTTGTTGACTAAAACATTTTGAATTTTTGTTGACTAAAATATTTTGAATTTCTGCCGATTAAAATATTTAGAATTTTTTACCAGTGAAAACATTTTGAATTTTTGCTGATTAAAACATTTTGAATTTTTGTTAACTAAAATATTTTGAATTTTTATAGATTAAAACATTTTGAATTTTTGCTGATTAAAACATTTTGCATTTTTGTTGACTAAAATATTTTGAATTTCTGACGATTAAAATATTTTGAATTTCTGCCGATTAAAATATTTTGAATTTCTGCCAATTAAAATATTTTGCATTTTTACCGATTAAAACATTTTGAATTTTTTCTGATTAAAACATTTTGCATTTTTGTTGACTAAAATATTTTGAATTTCTGCCGATTAAAATATTTTGAATTTTTACCAGTGAAAACATTTTGAATTTTTGCTGATTAAAACATTTTGAATTTTTGTTGCCTAAAATATTTTGAATTTTTATAGATTAAAACATTTTGAATTTTTGCTGATTAAAACATTTTGCATTTTTGTTGACTAAAATAGTTTGAATTTTTATAGATTAAAATATTTTGAATTTTTACCAGTTAAAACATTTAGAATTTTTGCTGATTAAAACATTTTGAATTTTTGTTGACTAAAATATTTTGAATTACCGATTAAAATATTTTGAATTTTTGTTGACTAAAGCATTTTGAATTTTTACCGATTAAAACATTTTGAATTTTTGCTGATTAAAACATTTTGCATTTTTGTTGACTAAAATATTTTGAATTTCTGCTGATTAAAATATTTTGAATTTCTGCTGATTAAAATATTTTGAATTTCTGCCAATTAAAATATTTTGAATTTTTGCTAATTAAAAGATTTTGAATTTTTGTTGACTAAAATATTTTGAATTTTTATAGATTAAAACATTTTGAATTTTTGCTGATTAAAACATTTTGCATTTTTGTTGACTGAAATGTTTTGAATTTTCATAGACTACATTTCGAATTTTCACCAACTAGACTGTTTTGAATTTCATCTTCTAAAAGTTTTAGTTTTTGCCGACTAAAATATTTTGAAATTTCATCAGCTAGAACATTTTGAATTTTTATCAACTAAAACTAAGAAGGATAAAAATGACTAAAATGTGACTAAAGCTAATAAACGTTTTTGTTTCAAGACTAAATTTAAATTAGGTGTAAAAACCCCCACAACAAACCCCAGGGTGTACTGTGATGCACTGTAATTTTAATTTTAATTTTAACTATTTGAAATTTTAACTTTTTTTAAGTCATACCAGTGTTTTATATTTTATTTTATTGTAAGTTACACTATGTACGCGTCTACTCATGAGCCAAAGTAACAAAATCTCGTTTAATATGTACACTGATGGTGTATTTGTTGAATGACAATAAAGCAAGTCTAAGTCTAAGTCTGGAAGCTCAAACACACACACACACACACACACACATACACACACACACACATACTCACAGAGGGAGTAATGACATTACTCCCTCTGTATCTTTACACAGACAGCAGCTGTTTGCTGTTGTATTATATTATATTAATACTCTGAATGTCTCATAGTGAACCTTTAATGAAACACTGTTAATATCCAAACAGTGTGTGTGTGTGTGTGTGTGTGTGTTACCTTGCACTTGTGTCAGCCAATCAGGTTGGTTGTAGTGCTCAGAGGCACTGAGGGAGGTGTTGAGGAAGACGAGCAGCAGAACCAGCCAATAGAACGTCACCGATTTGACGGCAGTGCGACAGTTCCTGCGACAGACTCGATTCCACCGACGCAGCGTCCGACTGACGGAGAAGAGAGCGGTCGTTAGTGAAGTGTGTGATCAGTGTAATCAGTGAGGCTGACTGGAAACACTTCAGGTTTCACTTGTGGACGAGTTAAAATGTTCATTTAAGATATCTGTGACTCTCTACTGCTGCGACTACTCTCTGTAGTTTGAATGGAAGTCAATGTTAAAAGGTGACCAGTTGTAATTAAGTTACAGATATCTACAAGGAACATTTCCACTAGAAAGAAATGAATTACTGACTCAAGAATTGACATTTTAACTGGTGAGAAATTAATTGAATTCTTTGCTTAGAATTTCTGCTACGCAAAATTAAATTATGGAGCGATAACAAGTCCAAAAGTGACTGTTGAATCTACGACTGCTTTAAATGCTCTGATTAAATGTTAAAGGGTTTACCAACAGTCAGTGAACTCACCAGCAGCCGATCTTCATCATCCGAGAGCTGAAACAAGACTCGAGTTAGTTCAGACACTTTCCTGGTGTTTTAGACATGGTGTGTGTGTGTGTGTGTGTGTGTGTGTGTGTGTGTGTGTGTGTGTTACCAGCAGGCCTGGCAGCAGTTGGTGTGTTCCTCATCGATGTTTTCAGTGTTTTCAGACGCTGTTTCACTGGCAGGAAGACTTGCTGAGAGTCAGACAGACAGACAGACAGACAGGTCGCCACTTAATGTCACATCAATAAGTTGGTATTTTAGTCCACAGTGAATTAAATACATAACATACAGATGATAAATGTGATACACTGTGGACTGAAGTGATGTTTGAGGCAGTAAATTAATAACTGAGAGAGAGACGAGAAACGGGGTCACACAGAGACCCAGATCATCTTTCTACATTTAGACTGAAACACACACACACACACACACACACACACACACACACACACACACACACACATCTGAAACACACTCTCCATGTGTGTAAAGCAGATAAATAAAGACGGAGGTTTCACCGTGTGTTTCATTGGAGTGACTGAACCATCCGAACTTCCCTCTCTTCTTATCCGACAGATCTCCCAGAGACGGACCTGAGACACACACAGGAAGTGTTTCACATGATCAGCAGGTCGGCAGCGACACGTCTCATTCATTCACTGAGGAAACAACAAGAACTAAACAACAACAGGGTCCTGAGAGTTAGTTCACATGGAGATGACAGAAGAGTTTTCTGTTTCAGAAAGAAGCAACTTCAACTCTGAACTGAAGCTGCTCACTGGCAGGTTTTCTTCTACAAACCCTGAGTCTGTGTCTGTGTCCTCCCTCTGACACATCCACACACACTGTTTTATTTCCTCATTAATTCACTTCATTAGCAGAGGTTTACTGTGAGAATCAAAGTCCTGGTTGGATATTAGTTCGTTATTCAGGACCATCTAAAGTTACCACTGTTATGAGCCGTCACTTGTTTGTTTGAACAGTGGTTTTTGCCCTCATATGAAAATATCACACAGCATTAAAGAGGCAACAGACAGCATCTTTTCCTAAATATATCATGATGAAAATAATGTGGGTTGCACAGGGTAGTGTCCACAGTAAAATCACACTATCAGTGTTTACATAGGTTACTTAGTGGCTTTGCAATCTGTGCAATAAGCTTCTGCCACCAGTGCTGAAATTTCGCGGAAAAAATCTGCTTTACGGCAGGAAAAGCGTCATGTATTGTGAAACTGGTCGGTCAGCCAATCAGGGACTGGAGCTGGTCCTTATGAGAAGTTGGGCATGAGATAGTTGAGTCACAAGCACAATGGCAGACGGACAAAGTTTGGAGACAAGTGAAAAACGGCCTAGCAAAAGAAAAGGAGCTCCTCTGTGTGAGGAGGCAAAGAAGAGCAAAAAGGAGAGTGATAAAAGAAGAGGAAAAACAAGAGTAAACCTCAGTCAGGCGTTCAAGAGATGGAGGGAGCTCCGTGACCAAAGAGGCTTCAAAACCCATGTCCAGCTAGCTTTCTTTCTAATGGATCAGTAAGTAACACGGCTAAATGTTAGCTAGACCAGAGAGGACTGTACTGTACTGGCTGCTAGTTCATTCCTAGCTGGCCAGCATCGCAAAT